TTACTGAAAAAGCTGGCTGAAATAAAGTCAAACAGTTTCTTGTCTTCTCCCCGCCTTTTAAAAACAAATCAAATGCTTTCCTGGGAAAACTGTTAGCTCCTTTATGGGCTAATGCTGGGACTATATTATTGTATGATGTTTCCACCTTATCCCTTCTGAAATAAACAAAACCTCCAGGGAATCAAGTGGAGGGATCAAAAGTCAGCTAATCAGCAAGAAGCCATCTGCCTTCAGCAGTTCCGACTGAGCATCCCAGCAGTCCACCACAGTGCCTAGGGCAAATACATGTTTTCAATGGCTGTTGAACAGAACCCAGCCCAGAAGGGCAGAGTCAGGAAAATTCAAGTATGCAATGGCTTTGAAAACTAATGCTGAGATTTTCTCTGCATAAGGACATAAAAAATAGTTATGAGTATCATCACTTTGATTAGTGACAGATATCTGTGTCCTCTGACTATGTTTTTGGGCAGAGGTCCAGGGGCTAAAGAAATGGCACAGCTCTGAATGAGACTTGGCAAACATTCTTTACTTGGGTTTCAGTTTGATCCAGTTTTTCCCCCAGCTGGAAATCTGAGAATCCAGCTGCCTCCATTTTGATATTTCCACTGTCAATGCCCTGGGAAAATGGTATCAACTTGCTGTAAATGTAATTTAAGCCACGATTTGCTTAAATATTGCTGACTTTAAAATGACAGGAGAAGCATTTCTTGCTTATCAACTCACTCCGTGTTGCGGACTCCGTCCTGGAAGCATCATGTAATTGTGAAGTTCCAGGCAAACAACTCGAGGTGGCCTGTTTGTTTCGGTACCTGGTCACTACTGTCATGAAAGTGAGGAGAGAAAGAGTGTATGTGGTGAGTAAAAGCCTTTATTAATTCCAAATGGTTGCTAGTAAATTAAAATTGCCAAGAATAAAAAAAGCTTCTGACTTTTCTGTTCTGAGAAGAATGTCGTCACCATTCAAAAGGCGAAGGTAAGTGCAGTTAGAATTAAGAGCTGAGCTGAGGTTTTGGTTAATGGATTTTAAAAACACCTGTAGCTAAACCAAAAAGCCAACAAACTCAGAAACACTGACCCTAAGCATTTACTGGAAAAGGTTATGAAATGTGATTGGCGAGCCTTCCCTGAAAACTACGGGGAGCTTTAACCAGGCAGGATTTAATCACAGCAACATATGCAAACCTGAACCAGCAACAGCAAGTTTCCTGGAACCCTCGTGGAGGAGTCAGCACAGCAGTGTTCCAGCACCTACCTGGTGCCTCCCCCTATTTTTTACTCAATCACTCTCATCTCAAAATTTCTGCCCACCCTTTGGCTCAGCTGTGTCTGTACTGTTCCCTGACTCCCACAGCTTTACATCCAGTAAGACACCAAGGTGGTTTCTGATTTCTCATCCCAATGTCGCTTCGAACTGTCCTGTCCTGTCTACTCCCATCCCTAGGGGACCAGCCTCTGTAAGTCGCACTGACTCGGTAAGATGCTACCTTTTACTTGGTCTTAAGAGCTTTGGCTAATGGTGTTAACTAATAGTTTTAGCTCACTGAGTCATTAAGACAATTTGACTAATTGCTAAATGACTAATTTGCACTGGTGTGGGGGGATGAAATATGAGTCATCTTCAAATACTTGAAGGGCTGTCATGCGGCAGAGGCAGTAGATGTAACCTGCATTGCTCCAGAGAACAGTTTCTGAGAGAAAATTTTAAAAATAAGGCATAGTCAACTTTACGTAAGGAAGGAACAGCTTTTCAATAAAATACTGGCAGAAAACAAGCCCCACCTCCTCAGCCCACTCTTTCCAATCAAAAAAACCCCAGAACAATGGTGACTAGTGATTACCTTTAGTTCAGGGATAATCTGAATAAAAATGCGTAGGTACACCTCAAGGATTTATTCATGAAAATAGGCTATATTAATTGAATGAATATGTTATTACCACAAAGTGAAAGGCATTCATGGATACTTACCTTGATTATATGGATATTCAGCATGTTCTGAAGCATCACTTATCTCTTTCTCTAGAAACCACTTTCTAGATGCATCTGAAAGAGCTGACGCTTTCTTTTCTGATTTCAAGATAAAGTCTTTTTCTTTGGCTTCCTCCCACTAAATACAAATAAATGGAAAAAAGAGTCACATAAAAATTGTAGCAATGCAAGTCCCTACAGTGTAGTAAGTCCTCTGTTTCCTTTAGTCCACTTCCTCTTAGGTTCCCAAGGCATTAGGAAAATTTAGGTGTCTGTCTTGGCCCATAGCCAACAAGAATCTTGAAAGTAGAGGCATTTATTTCTGATGTATACTCACCACTAAGAGAGCCACACAGTACACATACAGGCCCCCAACTATCCTTGAAATAAGTCATTTCTACAATGTCTCTTTTATTGCAAGCAACAGAAATCCTCCTGAGCTGTGTCTAGTGATGAACAGATCTTGAAGGACAGGACGATGTGGATTATGCCAGAGTCCTTGAAAAATCATCACCCTTTTTGACTACCCATCCCCACCTTCTTTTTCCTTCCTTTGCTACAGTGGGTAGGAATGTTGACATGGAAGAACAGGGCCAAGAATGCATTTTTAGCATTTCAGTAGATCGGAATGTATTCAGGTGAGATAAGAAGAAGTACAATTTATTTTTTGTTTTTTCCTTTGGCTCCTGTTCCTGCTTTTCTCCGCACATGTGCTCCATTCTCCCGCTTCTCTCTGCAGACTAGCTCCTCTGCCTGCTCTTCCTGGGCAGCCTGCACCCCAGTGTGACCTTCCAGCACCAGTGACTACGACTGACCAACCATAGCTTTATGGTTCTGAAAATCCCTGGGGAAGAGTATCTTTCCAATCCTTAGTCTAGTCAAATTTATATCCTTGATTTGATCAACTATGGCCACCAAGTCATGAAATATGCAGGACTTTCTAGAGATGATGGGAGAGGTAAGCTCTGCAGAAGGGGCTGCACGTGGGGCAGTCAATGAATCATAACCAGCACATCCAACTCTGTCTACCCTGCACACACCCACTTCTTCTTATATAAAATAAGTTATTTCAATACATTTTAAATCTCACATCTTATGGGATTAAGCTAACTTTAAAAATTAATGGCAATTGTCTTATTTAATTTGAATGCTATGCCTTAGTGATAAAGTCTACAAACTTCAGAGAATGAATTCTCTGCCCAGCTCTGGTACACACAATGACTACAGGGAAGTCAAGTAATCTCTAATAGCCTCTGCTTTCCTCTTCCTCAAGTGAGAAAATAGTAACCTTAAAATTAGCTCAAATAGCAACTAAAATAAATTAAACAACCTATACAACTCCTCAAATTTACCAATGTTCTATAGCTTTTATATGCAAGCACACATAAAATTTTTGTTTTAGAAATGCTAACACATTAAATATGCATTAACTAAAAAAAACCTTATAAAGAATCACTAGGGCAGGAGAGACCACAGAGATCCATCCCTTCCATGTTACTGATGAGGAGACAGGGTCCGAGTGATTTCCCAAGGCCACATAGTAGTCAAGCCAGCTCAGAACCGAGGACACCAGACACAAAGAAGGATCCCCACATACCTTGCAAAGCCATAGTGATCCCCAACCCGCTCCCAAACAGATCATTTTACCCAAAGTACAGCAGCACCTGATTTCACAGTCTAGCTCAGGTGTCAGCAATCCTTCCCTTGAAGATGTAGGCTTCCCCACAACTTCCTGAGAATAGTCTCAGTGGGCAGCCCTCCCACCCCACCCTGTCTTTGAATGAAAGAGTTGTAAGATAGGGCCCTGTGTTTCTTGGATGGGGCAGGAGGAAAATGACTCTGGAACAATGATGCCAAGGAAGTACATTAGTGAAAGCTTTCAGAATAGACATAATGATAGAGCAGTAAAAAGAGAAAGTGAAAGAGTTTGGTTCATTCCTAACTCTTCAATGTCCTCAGGGCAGTCCACTGTGCCTGCAATAATCTCTACAGTGCACGGGCACCACAGCTGTTGGGAGGACCAACCAAAATACATATGTGTGATTCATATTCTTAGTTTCCTCCTCAAAATCCACTGTATGATTCTTCTTTAAGAATTCAATTCTGATTTTATTTGGGATGATAATGTACCCTGCTAAAAATACTGTATTTTTCCAACATCTTCTGCAGCCAGTGCGGCGAGAAATGTGATATGGGACTTTTGGGAAGAAGTTAGAAAGGAGTTGTCTCAGCTGGGAGATGGAACCTTTTACCCTTCTCCCTACTATCTGGCATGCATATGTGATGAAGTACAGCAATCATCTTGGGTGGTAAGGTATCCTTAAGAATTAGAGCCGCACACCAGGATGTAGCGCCAAAAGGTTGAAGGAGGCAGTTTTCCTGATGATGGTGAAGCCAGGAAACCAAGCCGGACTGTTTACCTCCAAACTTCTTTCAGGTGAAGAAGAAAACCACTTCTGACTTGCATTTGGCCACTGTTATTTCAGGTTTTGCTTCTAGCAGCAGCCTATAATTCCTAACTGTTTAAAATCTTTTATATTGAAAGTATAAAGAGTCAGGTAAAACTCAAGTAGTCATTATCATCAAATCGGCCAGAACAAACCCAGGAAGCTGAGAAGTCGAGATGCACTAATGTAAATGAGAAAGATGCTTAGTCATTTTAAGTACCATCAATATTAAATTTCTTCTCTGAGCAATACTTATTAAAATTAGATTATCTTTATGATCTTTCCTAACAAAAATTATTTGGTTTGATGCCTTTATCATTTGATTATGTAATATTTCAAAATTTAAATTATAACACCGTTCTTACCTTTTTAGCTTCCTCCCCCATCACTGCATTTAATACTTCTATTTCTTTTCTGTTTTTTTGAAGGAGTTTGGCCATATCCTTGTAACATTCATTTTGTTGCAGATTATCACATCTTTGTTTATGTAAAGCCCAAATCCGCGAGTCAGTATTTAGACATGCTTGTTCAGCTTCCGCCAAATTTTCTTCAATTAACTAACAAAAATTTATGAATTTCAGAAACAAGGTCAGACTATATATAAAATGTGGTATAGCCATTCAATGTATCTAAGTGCCTAGGGGGGCTGTCTGTAACCTGGGTTGCATGTTAGAATCACCTCAGAGTGTTTAAAACAAACTGATGTCCAGGCCCACTGCAAGTCAATTACATTGCTCTCTGGGGCGGATGGATATTGGGGCTTTTAGGAAGCTCTCTAGGCGATTCTAATGTATAGCCAAGGCTGAGAATTTCTAAGCTAAGGGATGGGTGGGGCTGGACAATTTCCATGTTTCAACCCTTTGAAAAGAAGAAACCATTCTTACAGACCAAAATCCCTAAGAGAAAAAAAAATGGTGGAATATTCTTGGGGTATCAGCTAAGGGACTGTTGTAGAACAGAAGGTAGGAAAATCTTGCACTATTTCTGCCTTTTGGACAAAGGCCAGGTCCTGCCACACACCCATTTAACATTTTGTTAGAGATAAGAAAGTCCTTTCTTGAAGGTCTCAGATTCCATTTCAATTCACTTAAGCCAGCACTTCTGAAAGGATGCTCCATAAGAAATTGTTATTAGTAAGTTTGGGAAACTTTCTAAAAGATTCACAATGTTCCATTTCCTCAAATTTGGTATGAAAAAACTTAACAGCATTTTCAACACTTCTCTGTTATCCCCCATTTTACCAGAAGTTATTAATTAGTCTACAAAATATATTTGGGAAATGCTGGCTTATATACCAGGCAGAGACCCCATGATTTGCAATTGATATACTCAGGGACAATTTCTGGGACATAACACAGTATAACACAGTAGAATAGTATTTATAAAATTACTATTTCCTTTGTATTTTTTTGTCTTAAAATTCTCAGAGTATAAAAGACACATGTATACGGCTATCAATGAAATAAGTAATTTGTAAGTAAAATAATTTGAGATCCTAACAGCTGTGATAAATGATGCAAAGAAAGGAATTAACTAAACCTTAGAGTTCAATTTTTAATTTCTTCTTTTAAAAGGAGACAGATGGAAATATCTCCCCCTATTTATACACTAAATTTATCACGCTTACCTTCTGAGTTTTTTCATTCAGCGTTTGATCTGTGTCTATGAGTTTATGAAACATGTGTTCTTCAAGATCCACTTTTCGTCTATGGGCATCTGTATCTTCTCTCATTTCTTTTGCAACAGCTTCTTGATTTCTAGTAAGATTCTGTTAATCATTTGTAAAAAAAAAATCACCTATCTATATAATAATAATGCTAGACAAAACATGACTTTTTTCCCCTCAGAATACTAATATGCACATAGATAAAAACTGTAATCATCTAGTTTTCAAAGTAAATAGCAAGCAGCAATGACATCAGGGAAAATAAGAGTAAGGATCTCTGAAAATTCTCTCCATAAAAACACTGAAAACATTGGCAAAACCTACTTTTTCAGAACCCTGGAAATTCACTGAAGGCTTGCAGCAATCTAGGGAGCATTTATTCATAAAAATGGCTGAATCTTGATAAGAACAGCAAGCTTTATGACATTTTTTTTATTAAGGTATCATTGATACACACTCTTATGAAGGTTTCATAAGAAAAACAATGTGGTTATTACATTCACCCTTATTATCAAGTCCCTGAGTGCCCCCTCACACTCCACTGCAGTCACTGTCCATCAGTGTAGTAAGATGCCATAGAGTCCCTATTTGTATTCTCTGACTTACACTGTCCTTTATGGCATTTTTAACTTCCATTATTCCTAGTCCCACTCTACCCCTAACTTCTTAATGACCCTTGGAAACTAGTAGTTTGGCGAATGAAAGGGGTGAAATGGAGCTGGAGCTCCCTCCATCTCCCTTTCCCACAGACCTGTCATCATTTGACCTCTCTGGTGGTTTTGAAGACCCCATTCCCAAGGCTCTGTCTTTATTTGTCTTGACTCAGAACTCACTACTTGAACAGCCTTTTCCCTGGGAATGTTTGCTGAAAACAATCAGAGGAAAATTGCTTAACATCTTGGCTGCCTGAGCAGCACATCATAGGGTAAAAAACAGGTTAATCAAAAAGCTTTATAGGAAAAGATGGGAAGCAGATATCCACAGTGGGGCTTTGAAAAGCTCCCATGGATTCCTGGGATTTTAGGAAGCCATGTGCACATGCCAAGAGCTGTGTGAATCCTCAGACCTGAGAGGGTCCTAAGCACTCAACTCTGGTGAACTGAGGTTTTGCAAAATCAGAAAGCAAAATTTAAGAGAGATGCAAACTACCTCTGTGTTGAAGGCATGCTCCAACATGATGCAGAAACAGTCCCTTGGAAAAGATTAGAAGTTTACTGGTTAAAGGCATCTAATGAAATCTGTCTCATCACTAAATTCTGACTTTTCTGTTCTGAGAAGAATGTCGTCACCATTCAAAAGGCGAAGGTAAGTGCAGTTAGAATTAAGAGCTGAGCTGAGGTTTTGGTTAATGGATTTTAAAAACACCTGTAGCTAAACCAAAAAGCCAACAAACTCAGGAACACTGACCCTAAGCATTTACTGGAAAAGGTTATGAAATGTGATTGGCGAGCCTTCCCTGAAAACTACGGGGAGCTTTAACCAGGCAGGATTTAATCACAGCAACATATGCAAACCTGAACCAGCAACAGCAAGTTTCCTGGAACCCTCGTGGAGGAGTCAGCACAGCAGTGTTCCAGCACCTACCTGGTGCCTCCCCCTATTTTTTACTCAATCACTCTCATCTCAAAATTTCTGCCCACCCTTTGGCTCAGCTGTGTCTGTACTGTTCCCTGACTCCCACAGCTTTACATCCAGTAAGACACCAAGGTGGTTTCTGATTTCTCATCCCAATGTCGCTTCGAACTGTCCTGTCCTGTCTACTCCCATCCCTAGGGGACCAGCCTCTGTAAGTCGCACTGACTCGGTAAGATGCTACCTTTTACTTGGTCTTAAGAGCTTTGGCTAATGGTGTTAACTAATAGTTTTAGCTCACTGAGTCATTAAGACAATTTGACTAATTGCTAAATGACTAATTTGCACTGGTGTGGGGGGATGAAATATGAGTCATCTTCAAATACTTGAAGGGCTGTCATGCGGCAGAGGCAGTAGATGTAACCTGCATTGCTCCAGAGAACAGTTTCTGAGAGAAAATTTTAAAAATAAGGCATAGTCAACTTTACGTAAGGAAGGAACAGCTTTTCAATAAAATACTGGCAGAAAACAAGCCCTACCTCCTCAGCCCACTCTTTCCAATCAAAAAAACCCCAGAACAATGGTGACTAGTGATTACCTTTAGTTCAGGGATAATCTGAATAAAAATGCGTAGGTACACCTCAAGGATTTATTCATGAAAATAGGCTATATTAATTGAATGAATCTGTTATTACCACAAAGTGAAAGGCATTCATGGATACTTACCTTGATTATATGGATATTCAGCATGTTCTGAAGCATCACTTATCTCTTTCTCTAGAAACCACTTTCTAGATGCATCTGAAAGAGCTGACGCTTTCTTTTCTGATTTCAAGATAAAGTCTTTTTCTTTGGCTTCCTCCCACTAAATACAAATAAATGGAAAAAAGAGTCACATAAAAATTGTAGCAATGCAAGTCCCTACAGTGTAGTAAGTCCTCTGTTTCCTTTAGTCCACTTCCTCTTAGGTTCCCAAGGCATTAGGAAAATTTAGGTGTCTGTCTTGGCCCATAGCCAACAAGAATCTTGAAAGTAGAGGCATTTATTTCTGATGTATACTCACCACTAAGAGAGCCACACAGTACACATACAGGCCCCCAACTATCCTTGAAATAAGTCATTTCTACAATGTCTCTTTTATTGCAAGCAACAGAAATCCTCCTGAGCTGTGTCTAGTGATGAACAGATCTTGAAGGACAGGACGATGTGGATTATGCCAGAGTCCTTGAAAAATCATCACCCTTTTTGACTACCCATCCCCACCTTCTTTTTCCTTCCTTTGCTACAGTGGGTAGGAATGTTGACATGGAAGAACAGGGCCAAGAATGCATTTTTAGCATTTCAGTAGATCGGAATGTATTCAGGTGAGATAAGAAGAAGTACAATTTATTTTTTGTTTTTTCCTTTGGCTCCTGTTTCTGCTTTTCTCCGCACATGTGCTCCATTCTCCCGCTTCTCTCCGCAGGCGAGCTCCTCTGCCTGCTCTTCCTGGGCAGCCTGCACCCCAGTGTGACCTTCCAGCACCAGTGACTACGACTGACCAACCATAGCTTTATGGTTCTGAAAATCCCTGGGGAAGAGTATCTTTCCAATCCTTAGTCTAGTCAAATTTATATCCTTGATTTGATCAACTATGGCCACCAAGTCATGAAATATGCAGGACTTTCTAGAGATGATGGGAGAGGTAAGCTCTGCAGAAGGGGCTGCACGTGGGGCAGTCAATGAATCATAACCAGCACATCCAACTCTGTCTACCCTGCACACACCCACTTCTTCTTATATAAAATAAGTTATTTCAATACATTTTAAATCTCACATCTTATGGGATTAAGCTAACTTTAAAAATTAATGGCAATTGTCTTATTTAATTTGAATGCTATGCCTTAGTGATAAAGTCTACAAACTTCAGAGAATGAATTCTCTGCCCAGCTCTGGTACACACAATGACTACAGGGAAGTCAAGTAATCTCTAATAGCCTCTGCTTTCCTCTTCCTCAAGTGAGAAAATAGTAACCTTAAAATTAGCTCAAATAGCAACTAAAATAAATTAAACAACCTATACAACTCCTCAAATTTACCAATGTTCTATAGCTTTTATATGCAAGCACACATAAAATTTTTGTTTTAGAAATGCTAACACATTAAATATGCATTAACTAAAAAAAACCTTATAAAGAATCACTAGGGCAGGAGAGACCACAGAGATCCATCCCTTCCATGTTACTGATGAGGAGACAGGGTCCGAGTGATTTCCCAAGGCCACATAGTAGTCAAGCCAGCTCAGAACCGAGGACACCAGACACAAAGAAGGATCCCCACATACCTTGCAAAGCCATAGTGATCCCCAACCCGCTCCCAAACAGATCATTTTACCCAAAGTACAGCAGCACCTGATTTCACAGTCTAGCTCAGGTGTCAGCAATCCTTCCCTTGAAGATGTAGGCTTCCCCACAACTTCCTGAGAATAGTCTCAGTGGGCAGCCCTCCCACCCCACCCTGTCTTTGAATGAAAGAGTTGTAAGATAGGGCCCTGTGTTTCTTGGATGGGGCAGGAGGAAAATGACTCTGGAACAATGATGCCAAGGAAGTACATTAGTGAAAGCTTTCAGAATAGACATAATGATAGAGCAGTAGAAAGAGAAAGTGAAAGAGTTTGGTTCATTCCTAACTCTTCAATGTCCTCAGGGCAGTCCACTGTGCCTGCAATAATCTCTACAGTGCACGGGCACCACAGCTGTTGGGAGGACCAACCAAAATACATATGTGTGATTCATATTCTTAGTTTCCTCCTCAAAATCCACTGTATGATTCTTCTTTAAGAATTCAATTCTGATTTTATTTGGGATGATAATGTACCCTGCTAAAAATACTGTATTTTTCCAACATCTTCTGCAGCCAGTGCGGCGAGAAATGTGATATGGGACTTTTGGGAAGAAGTTAGAAAGGAGCTGTCTCAGCTGGGAGATGGAACCTTTTACCCTTCTCCCTACTATCTGGCATGCATATGTGATGAAGTACAGCAATCATCTTGGGTGGTAAGGTATCCTTAAGAATTAGAGCCGCACACCAGGATGTAGCGCCAAAAGGTTGAAGGAGGCAGTTTTCCTGATGATGGTGAAGCCAGGAAACCAAGCCGGACTGTTTACCTCCAAACTTCTTTCAGGTGAAGAAGAAAACCACTTCTGACTTGCATTTGGCCACTGTTATTTCAGGTTTTGCTTCTAGCAGCAGCCTATAATTCCTAACTGTTTAAAATCTTTTATATTGAAAGTATAAAGAGTCAGGTAAAACTCAAGTAGTCATTATCATCAAATCGGCCAGAACAAACCCAGGAAGCTGAGAAGTCGAGATGCACTAATGTAAATGAGAAAGATGCTTAGTCATTTTAAGTACCATCAATATTAAATTTCTTCTCTGAGCAATACTTATTAAAATTAGATTATCTTTATGATCTTTCCTAACAAAAATTATTTGGTTTGATGCCTTTATCATTTGATTATGTAATATTTCAAAATTTAAATTATAACACCGTTCTTACCTTTTTAGCTTCCTCCCCCATCACTGCATTTAATACTTCTATTTCTTTTCTGTTTTTTTGAAGGAGTTTGGCCATATCCTTGTAACATTCATTTTGTTGCAGATTATCACATCTTTGTTTATGTAAAGCCCAAATCCGCGAGTCAGTATTTAGACATGCTTGTTCAGCTTCCGCCAAATTTTCTTCAATTAACTAACAAAAATTTATGAATTTCAGAAACAAGGTCAGACTATATATAAAATGTGGTATAGCCATTCAATGTATCTAAGTGCCTAGGGGGGCTGTCTGTAACCTGGGTTGCATGTTAGAATCACCTCAGAGTGTTTAAAACAAACTGATGTCCAGGCCCACTGCAAGTCAATTACATTGCTCTCTGGGGCGGATGGATATTGGGGCTTTTAGGAAGCTCTCTAGGCGATTCTAATGTATAGCCAAGGCTGAGAATTTCTAAGCTAAGGGATGGGTGGGGCTGGACAATTTCCATGTTTCAACCCTTTGAAAAGAAGAAACCATTCTTACAGACCAAAATCCCTAAGAGAAAAAAAAATGGTGGAATATTCTTGGGGTATCAGCTAAGGGACTGTTGTAGAACAGAAGGTAGGAAAATCTTGCACTATTTCTGCCTTTTGGACAAAGGCCAGGTCCTGCCACACACCCATTTAACATTTTGTTAGAGATAAGAAAGTCCTTTCTTGAAGGTCTCAGATTCCATTTCAATTCACTTAAGCCAGCACTTCTGAAAGGATGCTCCATAAGAAATTGTTATTAGTAAGTTTGGGAAACTTTCTAAAAGATTCACAATGTTCCATTTCCTCAAATTTGGTATGAAAAAACTTAACAGCATTTTCAACACTTCTCTGTTATCCCCCATTTTACCAGAAGTTATTAATTAGTCTACAAAATATATTTGGGAAATGCTGGCTTATATACCAGGCAGAGACCCCATGATTTGCAATTGATATACTCAGGGACAATTTCTGGGACATAACACAGTATAACACAGTAGAATAGTATTTATAAAATTACTATTTCCTTTGTATTTTTTTTGTCTTAAAATTCTCAGAGTATAAAAGACACATGTATACGGCTATCAATGAAATAAGTAATTTGTAAGTAAAATAATTTGAGATCCTAACAGCTGTGATAAATGATGCAAAGAAAGGAATTAACTAAACCTTAGAGTTCAATTTTTAATTTCTTCTTTTAAAAGGAGACAGATGGAAATATCTCCCCCTATTTATACACTAAATTTATCACGCTTACCTTCTGAGTTTTTTCATTCAGTGTTTGATCTGTGTCTATGAGTTTATGAAACATGTGTTCTTCAAGATCCACTTTTCGTCTATGGGCATCTGTATCTTCTCTCATTTCTTTTGCAACAGCTTCTTGATTTCTAGTAAGATTCTGTTAATCATTTGTAAAAAAAAAAATCACCTATCTATATAATAATAATGCTAGACAAAACATGACTTTTTTCCCCTCAGAATACTAATATGCACATAGATAAAAACTGTAATCATCTAGTTTTCAAAGTAAATAGCAAGCAGCAATGACATCAGGGAAAATAAGAGTAAGGATCTCTGAAAATTCTCTCCATAAAAACACTGAAAACATTGGCAAAACCTACTTTTTCAGAACCCTGGAAATTCACTGAAGGCTTGCAGCAATCTAGGGAGCATTTATTCATAAAAATGGCTGAATCTTGATAAGAACAGCAAGCTTTATGACATTTTTTTTATTAAGGTATCATTGATACACACTCTTATGAAGGTTTCATAAGAAAAACAATGTGGTTATTACATTCACCCTTATTATCAAGTCCCTGAGTGCCCCCTCACACTCCACTGCAGTCACTGTCCATCAGTGTAGTAAGATGCCATAGAGTCCCTATTTGTATTCTCTGACTTACACTGTCCTTTATGGCATTTTTAACTTCCATTATTCCTAGTCCCACTCTACCCCTAACTTCTTAATGACCCTTGGAAACTAGTAGTTTGGCGAATGAAAGGGGTGAAATGGAGCTGGAGCTCCCTCCATCTCCCTTTCCCACAGACCTGTCATCATTTGACCTCTCTGGTGGTTTTGAAGACCCCATTCCCAAGGCTCTGTCTTTATTTGTCTTGACTCAGAACTCACTACTTGAACAGCCTTTTCCCTGGGAATGTTTGCTGAAAACAATCAGAGGAAAATTGCTTAACATCTTGGCTGCCTGAGCAGCACATCATAGGGTAAAAAACAGGTTAATCAAAAAGCTTTATAGGAAAAGATGGGAAGCAGATATCCACAGTGGGGCTTTGAAAAGCTCCCATGGATTCCTGGGATTTTAGGAAGCCATGTGCACATGCCAAGAGCTGTGTGAATCCTCAGACCTGAGAGGGTCCTAAGCACTCAACTCTGGTGAACTGAGGTTTTGCAAAATCAGAAAGCAAAATTTAAGAGAGATGCAAACTACCTCTGTGTTGAAGGCATGCTCCAACATGATGCAGAAACAGTCCCTTGGAAAAGATTAGAAGTTTACTGGTTAAAGGCATCTAATGAAATCTGTCTCATCACTAAAGTTAATTGAGCAGAGACTTCAGTGGCTACACGTGAAAAAGATAGAGACATTATAGAATTAATTCAGCAGTCACTAAGCAAAGAAACAAGAAACCCTGGGGAGGAAGAAGAATCTGATTTCCAGAACTGCCGTGTTATTGTTTAAAATATCTAGTTTTCTAAAAGAAATTACATGACATATTAAAACCAAGAAAGTATGGCCCTTCATACTTTGAATAGACATTAACCACATGATCTCCAAAGAAGATATAAAAATGGCCAATAAACATATAAAAAGATGCTTGACATTATAACCATTAGGGAAACGTAAACCAAAACCACAATAACATACTACTTCACACCCACTAGTATGGCCATAATCAAAAGGACAAGCAATAATTACTCATGAGAATGTAGAGAAATTGGAACTCTACATTCCAATTGCTTTTATTATTTTTTATTTTGTTATCATTAATCTACAATTACATGAAGAACATTATGTTTACTAGGCTCCCCCCTTCACCAAGTCCGCCCCACAAACCCCATTACAGTCACTGTCCATCAGTGTAGTAAGATGTTGTAGAATCACTACTTGTCTTCTCTGTGTTGTACAGCTCTCCCCCCATGCACCCCCCCACATTATACATGCTAATCGTAATACCCCCTTTCTTTTCCCCTATCTTTATCCCTCCCTTCCCTCCCATTCTCCCCAGTTCCTTTCCCTTTGGTAACTGTTAGTCCATTCTTGGGTTCTGTGATTCTGCTGCTGTTTTGTTCCTTCAGTTTTTCTTTGTTCTTATACTCCACATATGAGTGAAATCATTTGGTATTTGTCTTTCTCTGCCTGGCTTATTTCACTGAGCATAATACCCTCTAGCTCCATCCATGTTGTTGCAAATTGTAGGTTTTGTTTTCTTCTTATGGCTGAGTAATATTCCATTGTGTATATGTACCACATCTTCTTTATCCATTCACCTACTGATGGACACTTAGGTTGCTTCCATTTCATGGCTATTGTAAATAGTGCTGTGGTAAACATAGGGGTGCATCTGTCTTTTTCAAATTGGGCTGCTGCATTCTTAGCGTAAATTCCTAGGAGTTGAATTCCTGGGTCAAATGGTATGTCTATTTTGAGCATTTTGAGGAACCTCCATACTGCTTTCCACAATGGTTGAACTAATTTACATTCCCACCAGCAGTGTAGGAGGGTTCCCCTTTCTCCACAACCTCGCCAACATTTGTTGTTGTGGAACTCTACATTCCTAAGTATAGTTTACCCTTGAACAACACAGGTTTGAACTGCACAGGTCCACTTACATGTGGGTTTTTTCCAAGGAAAATTTTTTGGAGATCTGTGACAATTTGAGAAAACATTTTCTTTTCTCTAGCTTACTTTATTGCACAAATACAATATATGATACATATAACATACAAAATATGTGTTAACTATTTATGTTATCTGGTAAGGCTTCTGGTTAATTGTAGATTATTAGTAGTTAAGTTTTGGGGGAATCAAAAGTTATACTCAGATTTGTGAGTGCATGGGGGGTGGTCTGTGCCCCAACTCCTGTGTTATTTAAGGGTCAACTATAAATATCTAAGAGAAATGAGAGCATATGTCCAAACAAAATCATAGCACCACTACTCCATAACCAAAAAGTGGACAACCCAAATATCCATCAACTGATGAATGGATAAACAAAATGTGGTCTATCCATTCAATGTAATACATTCAGCCATAAAAAGGAATAAAGTATTGACTCATGTTACAACATGGATGAACCTTGAAAACATTATCCTACAGGTTTGAAAGAAGCCAGTCACAAAACATCACATGTTGTATGATTTCATTTATATGGAATGTCCAGAATAGGCAATCCATGGAGACATAAAGTAACTTAGTGGTTGCTAGGACAAGGGCATGGGGAGTGCTAATGGGTACAGTGGTTGCGGGGAGGATAATAGGTTAACTTTCTAATTTTGATGATTATACTATGGTTATATAATAAGGATTCCTTGGTTTTGAGGAAATACATACTGAGTATTAAGGGATAAAGGGGCATCATGTTTACAACTTACTCTTACAGAGTTCAGGAAAAAAATGTATACGTATGTGTGGGCATATGTGTATAGACAGAAAGAGAAGGATAATGCAAATTTAGCAAAATGTTAGTATCTGAGTATCTGAGAGAAAATCATTTGGAAAATCTTGGTATTTTTCGTACAAATTTTCTGTTAATTTTGAAATCATGCCCCTGTGCCACTGCCCACCTCCCCCAAATAAAAGAGTAAAAAGTAAACTTAAGCCTGGTCCAAATGAATTACACCTAATTTGAAATCATAAGAGATTTGGCAAAGTGTAAATCCTTGGCTCAATTCTCCTGGTAGTTCAGTGTGGGAACTTAAAATGTGGTGTAGATATGAATGGATGATGTATGTTTTACATTTTATTTAATGTAAATAAGGAACAATTATACGTATGTTACCTGTTATGTATTTGCAGTTATCACTAACTTCAAACTCAAAATCTAACTTTAACAGGGCTGAAGAAGTAAAAGCTTAAATTTCAACATTAAATAAATGAATAACAAAATGGTTTTCCCAAATAATAAGTATTTGTAGTAACAAAGTCCCTTTTTGCAGTGACTTGGAAACCGAATTATATATTTTAAGTAGATACTTGATGACTTGATTCCACAAGATTCAAATATAAAGTACTTTCAGCTCTTGCCTGATTTACCTTACAAGATCCTTGTAAAATACTGAGAAAATTTTGCACACAGATAGAGAAAAACATAATAAGCTAGTAGATGATCCTGATGCAAAATCTAGGGCTTACAACTGGTATTTCAGACAGTAGACTAAGTTGCTAAGATAAACACGAGAAAGAATTACAACAAACTCTATATATTCAGACATTTTGGCTACACTACCATCCTGGATGATACTAACTGCTTAAAAAAACAAATAAAATGAAGATTTAAAAACTATGAATAAATACAGTCTAAAAAGAGTTTATACAGATCCTGTTTTTCTTATATTAGAAATAAGTGATTTATACCTTCTCATAAAGTCTTCTTTGGGATTCGAGTTCCAGATGTCTCATTTCTAGGTCCTTGGCTGTGGGAGCAATTTCTCGATCTCTCAGATGTGCCTATGGCCAAACAACAAACCGTAAATACTAACAAGCATTTACAAAATGATTTTTGTTTAACAGATTTAGTAATCTGGTAATCCAAACAACCCATTAAAAGTATTTAAAGTAATAGGTATTGGGTTTTTTAAACCAGAGCAATTGGCAATATATTAACATTCACTGTGGATTCTCAGATTTATGTCTGAGTTAAAGTTAAGCTTAATTTTCTAAAAAGGAAATCACAATTACCGTATGTTCTTCTACCCAGACTGGGAGAACAGATGGCAGTTCTTACCACATTATATCAGCCAATATTATGAGTTTGGAAAATGAGCAATTTAAATTTGTGGTAGATAAAAATATAGAATATTTAATCTTATTAACTGTAACATTTATTTAATGTTCTTTTTAATTAAACTTCTATACTTCCATAAATTCAGTTTGGCAAATTGTAATGCAAAGTTTAGATTTACTGTGGACTATATATACAACTTGTATGTGCCCTGCTTGGACTTAAGAGTTCAGCTTTCTCCAAAATCAATCACTTGGAGCTTTTCACTTCTATACATTACAGGGTTTCATTAAGGCAATCTTTTAGATAGAGCATTCTAGGAACTGTCCTACATACCTGGCTGTCTAAAGTTCCCATTTTTAGTTTTTAGGAGTAAGAGTAACACATGAATATGTGTTTCAGAAAAAACTAAACAAACTATTACCTGAGCCATCCAACCTCATTCATTTATTCAGTAAACACTTAATGATTACATTACTACTTGTGTCTATAAGGTGAAGTTTAGCTATTGTAAAAATAGAAGACACACTATGAAATACCTGCAAAAGGAGAAACAAATAGTAAAAATGAGAATACAGTGGGATATACAAGCAGGGTGCACATCCAAGGTGTGCAAAACCATGGACTGGCAACCAGTTCAACCTGAGGTTACCGGGAAAGCAGCCAGCTCAAAGGTGGGCATGCCTGAGTTCACGAAGCAGGAGTAGTAAGTGATGCCAGTGAGTATAGGAGCTTCCGCAGCTTGGCGGTGTCAGAGCTCACTGGCAGAAGTGGGAGATGGAAGGACAGGGGGCTGGAAGGGTAGACACAGGCCAGATCATGCAAACTGAAAGCATTTTACAGGATTCTTTGGCCAGGAAATAGCCTTCCAGTATCTCAAAGGGGTTTGGAATAAAGGAGTCAGAGTTCTAAGCCTGTATTACTTTTGGCGAAGAACATATACTTTTTGAGAGTAATTAATTATCAACCTCATTTGCTAGCTGAGATAATTTAAAAGAACCGTACATTTAAAAAACCAAATTAAGTTAACTGGCTTTAAACAAAACAAAAAGTATTATGCTATGCAAAGAAACAACAGCTCTCTATTACAGATGAATTAAAAATACTTTAAAAGATTTAAAAAATAATTAGTATTTTATCTAAACGAGGCCTGAAGCTCCCTGAATTAGTCTATAAGTTCAAAGCAATCCCCCCTAAAATTCCAATAGGACCGGGAGGTGGGGCTTCAGAGAGAGGGATCAGATTTTCAAAACATATTTGAAATGATAAACACTTGAGAATACTGAAGAAAACTCTGAAAAAGCAGACTAATAGTAGGAATTAGGTCTACTCATTAGTAAAATACTACCACAAAGTGCCACTCAAACTGTGTGGTACTGGGTTAGGAACAGACAGAGCAATGGACGTCAAGTACACAAAAGAATTTAACATTTAATAACCCTCAGTTGGCAAATGGCTCTGCTAATGCTCAACAAATGATACTGGGACAACTGACTTGACTTTGGAAAGAAGTCAGCTTTGTCCCTACCTCATTCTCTACATTTAAGTTTCAGACACAACAGAGATGGGCAAGCTCCCAGTAGGCTTTGTGGGTCACAGTTTCTGTCATGACGGCTCGCCTCTGTCACTGTAATGCAAAAGCAGCCACAGGCAATACATGAACATGTGGGTGTGACTGTTTTCCAATAAAACTGAATTTATGGGCACTGACATTTGAATTTCATATGCTTTAAAAAATTTAATATGACACTCATGTCATGAAATGTTATTCTTTCATTTTAAAACATTTAAAATGTTAAAACCATTCTGATGAGTCTTCACAAAACAGGTGTCAGGCCAGATTTGTTGGTAGACTATAACTGACCCCTGAGATACATCAATGATAAAAAACACACCAGAAAAACATAAAACCAGAAGAAAATATGCAAGAGTAGTAATATAATCTTAGAATAGGAAGATTTTTCTAAATATGAGCCAAAACCTAAAAGTCATAAAAAACTAACATCAGTTACCTAAAATCAAAATATTTTACATGATAAAAAAAGACAGCAATAAATATTCTTGAGAGACAACAGAGACCAGAGGAAAACATTTACAACAGGCAAAAGGGTTAATGCCCCACCCCTATGCTCTCTGGCAGCCACTAGCTAAGTGTGGCTACTGAGCACTTAAAATGGGCTAGTCCAAATTGAAGTGTAAGTAAAAACTGACTACTAGGTTTCAAAGAGTTCATTAAAAAATGGTTAAAACATCTCATTAGCAATGTCTTTATACTGGTTATATACTGAAATGTAATCTGCCTATATAAGTTAAAGAAAATGTTATCGAAAGTAATTTCACCTGTTTCTTCTTACTTTTTTAATGTGGCTATTAGAAAACTTAATCTTCTATGTGGCTCACATCATATTTCTATTGGACACTGCTGCACCTGGGATACAAAGAGCCCATGTAAACTGATAAGAAAAAGACTAACCTGATAGAAAAATGAAAAATGTACAAATGATATGGATATGCAATGTATAGTCTTCAACAAATAGAAGATAAGTAACTGAAGAGATACTTAACCTTACTAGCTACAAAAAAAGAGTGGGGGAATTAAAATATATCATTTTTTACCTATCAAATTGGCAAATATTAAGATGGATGCACTCCAAATTGACTAGGGTATGGGTACTGTTACACACTTAAAATAGCTTCAGTGGGTTCATTTTCAGAGGACAATTTGGTTTACCTTGGAATTTACTCAACAAAAGTATGTGTGCAACAAAGATTTGTACTGAGAATGTGCAAGTACTATTTTGAACAGCAAAACTGCAAGGAACCTAAATGTCCAACAGCAAAGGATTAAAGAAACTGACATTTACACAATGGAATGCTATGCAACCTTAAAAAAGAGAAACATATAACCATTTCTTACTAGTTTATATCTGAGGATGAAATAAGAGTGGAGAAGGTCCATTTTTAACTCCATGTATTTTATAATGGAGTTTTTAAAATACAGGCCATGTGTACATTTTTATATTAAAAAGACTGTTTTCCCTACTTCACAATTAACTTAATGGTGAATTGATACTTCTATTTTTAGAGAAACAGCCACCAAGGACACTAGACAACTTGACTAATTTTCCAGGCATTTCTAAAACATTTAAGCATTAATGAAATACAAAAGAGAGTAAGATTTTTAAATCTTTTAAAGTATTTTTAATTCATCTAAAAGAATAAGTAAAGGAGCTATTTAGTATTCACTGTGAACTCTAGGGTAGTATTAAACTTGAAAGCATTCATCACATTTAAATGAGAGTAAATGGAAGACAGTGTATGATTACTAAGATAAGAATAATAAACCTTTCTCTCAATTTCATCATTCAGTCTTCTTAGTTCTGTTTCACACTGACTTTGCTGAAATTTCTGGAAGCGCCTTCTTGCAGCATCTTGTAAGTGCATTTCCTTTACTTTCAACTCTCTCCTCATAGCAGCTAGTCTGAAATACAAAATTCATCAAGAGGCACCAATAAAAACCTTTCCCAATACAGATTTAATTGGAAAAATATTACATTTCAAAGTAATGAAAGTCCTGCCACGTATTTTCGTCCACTTTCCCAATTTAACTGGTGCAGCGTAATGCAGCTACAGTCATAATGTGCAGATGAAAGATGCCCAATTACAAACTGAGTCTGTCTTCGTGAAAATGAAAATGCTTAATGGAATTATCACAGCTGGGAAATGCTTATTCTTGTAACAAAAACTGAAAGAAGATAAAAATTATTCAACTACTCATGCCCAGATTTTTTCAGAGTGATAAAACATACTTCTGTCTTTGTTGTATCGTTTCTTCCTCCTCTCGTAAGAGCATTTTTCTCCTTGTTTCTTCAGCTTCACGAAGCAGTTCTTGTTTTTGGTACCAGGCTTCATCTTCAATTCTCTGCTGGTCTACTTCAGCTTGCATATCTTCAACTGACTGCCTTAAGTAGATAAGTTTTTATTGTATCAAAATACAAAAAGAAAATTGAGTAATTTAAATCCAAGGACAAACAAAACACAAAATATATGCCTGATTAATATGTAACTGTTTCCCTTCTATACAGGAACATCTTTAAAGATATTTCTAGCCTTTAAACTTTGATTTTACACAAATATTTAATAATTTAATGTATTTTTCATTAAAAATTTTCTTGTTTATAACAGATTTTATTTTTATCAAGGAACAACTATTCTGTCATTACCTCTCTCTTAGGTAATCCAATTCATCATTCCTTATTCTTTCTCGTTCCTGTGTCTGATAGTCCACAATAAACTTCGGATATTGATTAAATACTGGATATTGTCCTTTTGTCAGGGCCACAAAAACATCAAGCATGCTGTCAGGATGGATATCAGGAGGCGTGGTATCCACGAGATGATAAACTTCTCTAATCACAACACTTACATCCAGGTTATTCCGATGATGAAAAAAATACTGTAAAACAACTTTGTGTTTAAATTGAGATTTACCTAACACAGCAGTTATGAGGTACAATTAGAATGAGAGTTTAAAAATGTAAATGTGAATTCATCTTCAGGAGGACTTTTTTTCTTGCAACTTCACTGAAGCTCTTCTTAACCCAAGTGTTAAAAAGAAGATTCAATTTCCTATTTCCAAAATGTAATACAATTTTAAAACATATTATTAACTTTTGAAATAACACTTTTTGAATTTTAACCCAAATTGAAGGATTCCTTTATAACAAAAGAATGCTTCAACAACAGAACAAATTCTTCTGCTTGGATACTTTTTCCTTCAAAATCCAAAGTCAATAAATTCAAAAATAGCTTGATTCCTTAAAAATATCTGAAATGTTCCCACATCATCTTGTTCTGCTGGCAGATCTGAATTCTTTGTATGTATCTTATGAACATGAAATGAAAATAAAGTTTGACAGGAACAACAAAATAAGAAACCAACAAAAAAACCCAATTCATCCTGTCTACAAAAAGAATCTTGTGTTTTAACCACATCTAATGCTTTCTTTCACTTTCCCGCCAAACCTCAAAATTCTCATAGTTACCATTTTTCACATGTAATAAGCATCCAGATCATCACCAGTCAGGTGAGTGACTGATAAGATATGCACAGAATAAACATCTTCCCAAATGCCAAACATCCTTTGTAAAGGCAAAAGCACAAAATCCCAATGTTATTGTTTCCTCTCTGAAGCTATGATTTTAAGACTTAACAGTTGGATGTAACTGCCTGTTGAACTGTCTACAAACTATGTAAGGGCAAGGATGTGACATAACTCGCTCCCCACTACACTCCTACCACAGGTGCCTAACATGCAATAGGTACTCAATGAATGAAACTTGAAAACCGCTACTTAAGAACAAGGATATTTACCTCAAAATCATCTTTAAGATTACAGTTGAGCAAAGGAGCTCTAGAACATATGTTGTAGGCTACCACAGTCATCAGGAGGAATGAAGGATGGTTGGAAAAGACATTATCAAATAATTTTAGCCACTCCTCTCTTGTCAGTACTTCTGAGAACACAGTTTCAAGAAGAGGCCATGCATAGAGCTAAAAATAAGGAAAAATTCATTAGTTTTCTAGGGGAAAGTCCTAAGTCACTGCTAATACTCTCTTACATTTGGCTTAGCTATTAAAATCATTATATTAAAAACACAATTATGTAAAGAACTACCTCAATTTGGACCCTTCTTTACAGACTTTCAGAAAAGCAATTTAAGGAAGAAAAAGAATGGAATACTGTTAAAAAATATAAAATGTAGCATGTTTTTTATTATGCTCTTGCAAGAAAATGCTGTTCTGTTCTTTTATACCAGAACCAATGTTAGCTTGCAAAATAGGTTACATTATTGTAAAAACTTGCATGTCTTACCTGGGCAGTTACATCATGATCTATGAAGTGCTGCAGCAGTTCCTTGTCATGAAACGCCAAAACATTTTCTATCATACTAAGAATATTGATAGGAGGATTAGGAAAATATTCAAACCAGTGTTGACACCAATTGACTATGAAAAAAAATTGAAAATGTATCTTTATTTTTCAGTATCATTAAAGGACTATGCAAATCTTATATGTATCCACTCACTATGTCCTCAACACACCCACTAATAAAGAAAACATAACCCTTTAAATTCCAGAACAATAGATTTAAAATTCCATCATATTAGCATGGTATTTTTTTAAAGGTATCATTGATATACATTCTAATGAAGGTTTCATATGAAAATCAATGTGGTTACTACATCCACCCATATTATCAAGTCCCCCCAACTCCACTGCAGTCACTGTCCATCAGTGTAATAAATGCCACAGTCATTACTTGTCTTCTCTGTGCTACACTGTCTTCCCCATGATCCCCCCCATAAAATGTTAACATGGTGTTTTAAGTTTAGAGAAATTAGCCAATTTCTTCAGAGCAGCCAATGAGAAAGTATTAATTAAAGCAAAACTTCCCAGAGTATTCCTGATCCTACCTATCAGGGTACTCTGGTTCTTGCTAACTTGTGTGTTACATGCACTTAGATTTCTCCTGGTTAACAAAATGACCCTTCTAAAAAAGGGTCCTATTTAAATTTTCATTAAATGTGATCAATGTTAATACCAACATCCTCAAATCTACTAAAATTCATACCTAATTAAAATTAAGGAAGTTTAGAAAAAAATGTTCAAAATTACATTCTTACATATTGATAGCAATATATAAAAACGAATGGGTATATATTATAACATATCCCTATCCATTAAATGCTATAATGAGAATTAAAATGCCCCATTACTATGGTAACACTTGCTCTGTAGTTATGGTAGCACGTAACCACCAGATCTGGTTTTAAATATAACTGATCAATGACAACTTATTCCAGTAAACTTGACTTTGAAATCCAACCACTGACTGACAGCAGCATCCTTTGAAAGTCACCAGGTGGAAAGCAGAATCCGTTCCATCCAAGAGGCTTGTAAGGCTGATTTCAACTCACTGAGTAATCAAACATTACTTTCAAAAATCCTAGGAAGACCACTGGTTTTGCTCAGTGAGCCTGTCTAACCACCACAGCTCTCCTTAATTATTAAATTCAGATTTTTTGTTTCAAATATTGAGTTGTGGTTTCATCCTTTGATAGTAAGATCTTCTTTCTTAAATTAGCAAAAGAAGGCTTTGATCATCAGAATATTGGATAACATATAGTTTATAAGGGCCTTCCTTACCCTAAGCAGTGATAATATTTAGTTGAGCTCAGTAAATGTTTATTGAATGAAACTACTTTGAGACCCTTAATGAAAATCCATTAGCTATACATGCCAATCATTATGGATCTTTTGTATTTAGATTTCAGGTTTAGAAGAGAAGATCAATTTCCTTGCACATAATCATACTTTAGCTATGTAACAAGATTTTACTGGAAATAAAAAAGTTTTGCATGCATACCTAAATTAGATATAATCTGTTTCTTATGATATAACACAATTTGCCATTTTTAATCATGTTTAAGTGTACTATTCAGTGGTTCACATTTACAGTGTTGTGTAACAATCACTGTTCCAAAATCCTTTCCCAAATAGAAACTCTACCCATTCAGCACTAACTCCCATTCCCACTTACCCTAGACCCTGGTAACCTCTGATCTACTTTCCATGTCTGTTAATTTGTGTATCTGAGGTATTTCATATAAATTTGTCCTATTGTGTCTAGCATATTTTACTAAGCATAATGTTGTCAAGGTTCAGCTACATTTCAGCATGTATCAGAAGTTCATTCCTTTCCACAGCTAAATAATACTCCACAGTATGTATATACATATTGTTTATCCATTCATTTGTTAACAGAGACCTGGGTTGTTTCCACCAGCTGGCTCTGGGGAATTTACTGCTGCTATGAACACTTACATACCAGTATCTGTTCAAGTCTGTTTTCAATTCTTTCAGGTATACACTTAAGGAGAGCAGTTGCTGGGTTATGTGATAATTCTGTTTAAACTTCCCCCAGATAATTCTGATAAAACTTTTTGAGGAACTTCCAAACTGTCTTCCACAATGACTACACCATTTTCCATTTCCACCAGCAACGTATGAAGGTTCCAATTTTTCTACATCCTTGCAACACTTGCTATATTCTGTTTTTTTAATTACAGCATCATAGTAGGTAAAAGGGAGTAATCTCAGTGTTGTTTTGATTCGCATTTCCCTAATGACTGATGATCCTGAGCATCTTTTTATATGCACATTAGCCATTTGTTTATCTTCTTTTTTTCTCAAAGTCTTTTGCCCACTTTAAAATTGGGTTTTTGGTCTTTTTGCTGTTGAGTTGTTTCTTCTTCTAAAACTCTTAGCATTACTGGCAGGGTAAACTAGTACAACTCTTTTGGGGAATCAATTAGAATAGTCATATTTTATGACCTAAAAATATCAATTCTTGGATTCTACACAAAACAAATTATTATAATTGCATGTGGACATAGTTATAACATTTCTTTTAATAGATGAAAATCATAAACAACCTACATGTCCAACAATAGGTTAAACTAGTACATGCACATTATGGAATATTATAGTCAATAAAATGCTTACAAAATTTATAAAAATATATACATAATATACTAAACAAAAGTATGGTTATAAAAATAAAAAAATACTTAAAAAGTGTGGAAAAATAATCTGAAGGTCTAGCAGTTGGAGAATAAAATATAACACATAAAATATTATATAGGCAATAAATCATGTTTTTCAAGAATATTTAATGATTTGGGGGAATGCTCTTATCAGGAATTCATTAATATATTATCAAAGATTATCTTTGGGGAAAAGGAACATTGGTGAATTTTCTTTTGTATGTTTTCCTATTTTTTCCAATGATAGGTAAAAATTTATCAAAGCAAAATAAAATGTAATGAAATGAACAAGAAATGTAAAGAGAAATAAACTAAAATATTCATAATATCTATGCTTCAATCTTTTTATCTCTACTTTTCAGAATTTTATTGTTAAGAGTAGGTACTTATTTCCCATGTACAAGAAAAAATATTTTTAAGTAATTCATTGATAATGGTACCTGGTACACAGAAAGTTCTCAATAAATGTTAGCTGTGGATGAGGGATAGCAGCCAGCACTTGCAACAGTAGGAATTGTGTGCAAAATGCTTTTTATGTTTACTATAATCCTATAATAAGTGACTTCCTGTAAGTGAAGCAACTGCTGCCTTCTTAATGACAAAATCTAATTTAAAAAAGTATCTTCTAAAAAAATGCACCAACCAAATTTTCTTACAAATAAGGACTGTACATAAATGTCTAAACTGTCCATTTTATGCTCTATATCTCATTGTTTCACAGTAAAACTGTGAAAAACTAAATGTTGTAAATGCAAAGATACCAGAAAAATGTACAAGAATCTACTCTTGGTTTCGTTACTTAATACTTAGATGCTCACTTAGAAGAGTAGCAACAACTTCAAAACAGATGAGTTGGTTGTTCTGGAATAACTTTACAAACGGAAATGCCAAGAGTGGAAGATACGGTGTGTCGCTAAAGATGGCAGACCAGTGAGCCAAAGCGGACAGGGTTCTGTGAATAAAACAAGGAAAGAAGGAACAGAAAACAGTTTATTATTAATATTTATTTGAATAAATAATATATTCAACATAAAAAACCTGATACAGAAGGTATATTTGGTGAATATTCTCCCGCCTACCCCTTATGATCTACCTCACCTTCCCAGAACCACTATTAAAAAGTATAAATCCTTTTTAAAAAAATCACAAATAGTGGTATAAACATTGGTTTGTACCTTGCATTTTTCACTTAATAGTATCTTGGAAATCGTTCATTATCAGTATATACAGAGCTTTGGTACACAAGATAGCTTTGTACTGATACACCTGAATTTCTTTAACTTGACCTTACTGGATATTTGTTTCCAGTCTTTTGTAAACAATGGTATGCTTAATATCATTGAGTGTACATCATTCTTCATGTGGGAATATAGAGATGGATAGATTCCTAGAAGTGGAATTGCTGAGTCAAAGGATATGTGCTCTAGTAATTTCAATAGCCAGTGCCAATTATTCTCTACAAAAACAGTGTCTATTCACATTCCCACTAGCAGTGTAAAGGGATGCCGATTTTCTCACTCTTGTCAACTGATTTTATTATCAACTTTCTTTTTAAACCTTTAAGGGAGAAACAGTATTGCGATGTACATTTAAAAATAGCTAGCTTTCAGTTCTGTACAGCAAAGGACACCATCAATAGCATCAGTAGAACAAAAAGGCATCCTACAGGAGAATATATTTGTAAATGACATATCTGATAAGGAGTTAACATCTAAAATATATAGAGCTCACATACCCCAACACCCAAAAAGCAAATAACCCGATTAAAAAATGGGTGGAGGATCTAAACAGACACTTTTCCAAAGAAGAAATTCAGATGGCCAACAGGCATATGAAAAGATGCTCTACATTGCTAATCATTAGGGAAATGCAAATTAAAACCACAATGAGATATCACCTCACACCAGTTAGGATGGCCAACAGCTAAAAGACAAGGAACAACAAATGCTGGCGAGGATGTGGAGAAAGGGAAGCCCTCTCACACTGTTGGTGGGTATGTAAATTAGTTCAAGCAATATGGAGGTTCCTCAAAAAACTAAAAATAGAAATACCAATTGACCCAGGAATTCCACTCCTAGGGATTTACCCAAAGAAAACAAGATCCCTGATTCAAAAAGACAATATGCACCCCTACATTTATCACAGCACTATTTACAATAGCCAAGAAATGGAAGCAACCTAAGTGTCAGATGAATGGATAAAGAAAATGTGGTACATATACACAATAGAATATTATTCAGCCATAAGAAAAAAACAAATCCTACCAATTGTAATAACATGGATGGAGCTAGAGGGTATTATGCTCAATGAAATAAGCCAGGTGGAGAAAGACAAGTACCAAATGATTTCACTCACTTTTGGAGTGTAACAGCAAAGCAAAACTGAAGGAACAAAACAGCAGCAGACTCAGACTCTAAGAAGGTACTAGTGGTTACCAAAGGGAAGGAGTTGGGGAGGGAGGGAGAGGGGATTAAGGGGCATTATGATTAGCACACATAATGTTGGGGGGTGGTCACAGAGAAGGCAGTATAGCACAGAGAAGACAGGTAGTGACTCTATAGCATCTTACTCTCCTGATGGACAGTGACTACAATGGGAGAGTGAGGACTTGATAATATGGGTGAATGTAGTAACTGTAATGTTGCTCATGTGAAACTTTCATAAGATTGTATATCAATGATACTTTAATTTAAAAAATATTTTTTAAAAAATAGATAGCTTTCAGTACAATTTTGGTGGGCATTTCTGTTATTATGAAAAAGGTACAGCATCTTTTCATGTTTAAAACCATTTCCACTGCTATGAACTATATGTTCAGTCCTTTGTCTATTTTTTATTGGTTGCTTGCTTTCCACGCTCATTTACATGAGACTTCATATATTACAGAAATCAGCCTTTCACTTATCATGTTTTGTATATATTTTCTTGATTTTACATATACCTTCGTTGAGGGAATTTTTTTTACATGTAGAGATTTTTATTCATATCAATCTCTTTTGAATATGTCATGCTTAGGAAGGCCTGCCTTACTCTAGCATTATAATTCTCTCACATTTACTTTTAATACTTTAAAGGTTTCCTTTTTAAAAAAATAATTTTTCCTTTGAAATAATTTTAGGCTAACAAAAAGTTGCAAAAATAGAGAGTTCCTGTATACTTTCCCACTCAAATTACTCTAATGTTAACATACTACATAAATATAGGGCAACTGTCAATACTAAGAAATTGACATTGGTACAATGCTATTAATGATATTACAGACTTAATTCAGATTTTACTTTTTCCTACTAATGTCATTTTTATGTCATTTTTTTTTCATTCCATCAATGAAACACTCATTTGTTATATCACCACAGTTTCTTCCAATGTGTGAGAGCTCATCAGTCTTTTATCTCTTATGACATTGACATTTTTGAGGAATACCAGTTATTTTATAGATTGCCCTTCAATTTGGGTCTGATGTTTTCTTACGATGAAGTATACTGAGGTTATAAAATTTTGGCAAGAATACCACGAAAGTGATGTGAACTATACTGGTATGTGTTATTACCGGTGATTTTAAATTTGGTTACCTAGTTACAGTGTGGCTGCTGGGTTTCTCTACTATAAAATTACTTTTTTTCCTACTTGAAATTAATAAATAACTTGGGGGAGATACACACATTGCTGCAATATAATGAACATACCTCTGTAATACTCTGAGTAGTTTCCTACTTTTGATGGGGTATTTTTTCTGGAGGGTGAGAAATGCCACGTGAATACCCTTATCTATTAGGCTACTAAATGCAGTATGATTTTCAGGCAGTTGTAGCAGAGAGCGCCAAATGAACATTCTGAAATTAAAACATAATTTTAGCCAAGAAAATCTGGAGGGTAAAACTGATTTAACATGAAAGAATTTAAGTTTTACCTGTACTTCATTGGATATTCACCATAGCCTTTTAATAAGATTTGTAAGCGCTTTTTGCTTAATCCATCTGACAACTCATTCTGTGAAGAAAAAAATTAGTATCAATATATGACACAAGCATAAAGCTGAAAAGGTAATTTAATCAACAGTTGCTTTCCAACTTTAGAAAACACAGCACATGGTAAAAAATACTTTCACATCACAGGATTCTCTCCATACGCATACAGATACACTCTCTCTCCTGATGGTGCATATACACAGCAGATAAAGTTCATGACTTTATCACTTAACCTACATCAGGGTTTGACATATTTTTTCTGTAAAGGGTCAGACAGTAAATGTTTTAGGCTTTGTGGGCCAAGAGGCAAAAATGAAGATATTATGTAGATACTTATATAAATATTTAAAATGTAAACATTTAAAAATGTAAAACTTATTCTTAGCTTGAGTAGCTGGATTGGAAAATGGGCTGTCATTTGCTAACCCCTGCAGCATGAGTAATATACTGTGGTATTTTCTTCCCTCTTTCCCCCCGTCCCCTTATTTTCCTTACCTTTATGTTAATTTTATTTTAATGGAAAAATATTTTACATATTTTCAGATTGTAAAGCCATTTTCATAAGTTACCTCATTTGGTCTTAACTTTAGGAACAGATGGGATCTTGTCTTTTTTTGAGAAATGGGAAGGTGAGAATTCAGTGACTTGTTGGAGGTCACAAACCTGCTAAAACTTGGCTCAAGGCTCAAAGCCAGATTTTCTTAGTTCAATGCTCTTTTTACCATAGGAAACAGGTAACCCAGTATAAGAGAGAGGTGAGGGAAAACCCATGATGGTGGTAAACGAAGATCCCAGTTTGAGAGCCACACACTAGCTACTGAGGGCAACTAGTCCAGACTGGAGCAGTATGATCTACAAGTGATGCATGTTCATTGCTGTTATCTGCAAGACACCTTTTGCCATTAAAGCATCTTTTTAAACAAAGGATAGAATGCCTAGGTGAGTCTAGCTGTGGGTTTACTGTTCTCGTCTTGACCATAAGCTGGTGAAGTTCCTACTTCTCTTTTCATGTGCTGATAAGATAAGTGCTGATAAGATAAGCCAAGATAAGTGAGAACATGCATTTCACCGGGTAGACGTTCTACTTTGACCTGCTCGACCTGCTCCGTACAGCCTCCTACGGGTTGCTTAGAAGCAGCCCACTCTTGACACATTTCTATTAAGATAACCCCATTGGACCACATTAGAGTTTTGCCAGGTGCCCTGACCATTTTATTTCCCAGAAGGCAATCATGACCACACCCACTCATTTTGCCAGAAAAGGCTCCTGTAAATTCTCAGGGAAGCTGAAGCCAGACCATGTCTCAAAGGTATCATTCAGTTTTTCTCATTAAAGCATTCAATTAAAAGAGACAATATCAACTAATCTTTAAGCAGCTAGGTTTGTGCCTACTTAGTTTTCTAAAACTAAACGATGTTTTGTTTAGGGTTACATTTAGAGGTGATAAAACTATAAAGAAAATCAAGGACATAATTAACACAGAAGTGGGACAGGGAGAGAAATGTGATTTGGGATGAGCACCCAGGGGGCTTCAAAGCTCCTGGTAATGCTTTATTTCTTATTGTGGATATGGGTATGTGCAGAAAAGAGTTAACATGCAGGTCTGTGACTGCTAGGCTTCGAAAGTCTACTTGCAAGGCTGGCCCTTAACTGGTGTCTGCAAACTTGTATTTCAGGAAAGTTCCCACTATCTCCAGAAACAATGAGTGGCTCACTGTGCCTACACTGTACACTGTGGTTTAATCTGAATACCTGCTTTTTTTGTGCAGCCTGGAATTTTGAAATGTACTAAATAGAGGGTGCCTACAGAACCAGCCTCCAGTAAAAGCCCTGAGCATTGATTCTCTAATCAATTTCTCTGGTAGCCACACTCTTTACACATCATACATTCCTCTTTTTATGTAAGTTTCACGATTTTAAAATGCTTAAAGAAAAAAAGAGGTTATTAAAATTAATGTAAAAAAAAATAACATGGTGAGAATATGGAGTAACTGGAACTCTCAAATACCTCTTGGTGGGAATCTAAATTGTTTCAATCAATCACTTGGGAAAATTAACAGTATTTACTAAAACTGAACATATGTATGGTGTATAAGCCAGTAAGTCCATTTCTAGATTTATACCCAACAGAAATGTATCCTTATGTTCACCAACAGAGATGTACTACAATATTCACAGTACTATTGCTAAGGGCAAAAAAATTAGAAAAACTACCCAAATGCCTATCAATCACAGAATGGATAAAGTATGGCTTATTCACACGATGGAATTCTATACAGCTATGATATAACTACATGGAATCTCAAACATAATGATGAATGAAAGAAACCAGACACAAAAGAGAACAAACTGAATGATCCAAGTTATATTAGTACAAAAAAGGCAGAACTAATCTATGGTGTTAAAAGTCAGGAGAGTAGTTATCCTTGGGTAAGGGGGAGAGTGTCTGGAAGTGTGCACAAGGGCTTCTAGATTAATAGTCCATTTTTTTATCTGGATGCTGGTAACACAGGTGTGTTTGCTCTATAAAAATTCAAAGCTGTACATTTAGGTATACTTTTATGTGCATGTCGTTGACTGACTCAATAAAAAGTTTTAGAAGTCCTTGAAAATGTTAGCAACTTCTCCATTAATATTTTCTTTCAATCCAAAGTAATATACGCTCTTTGCAGCAAATTAGGAAAACACAAAAATAAATATAAACAAGAAAAACCAACTTAAATTCCTTCCGTTAAAGATAATTGTCTTAGTATCTTGGTCTTTCTTATGGAGCTTAAAAAATAATACATAGGCAATCATATCTTTTTATATTAAAGTGATATCGAAGTATATATTTCTTGTGGTTGCTTTTTATATTTGACATACTATAATTATTTTCCTTTTCACTTAAATATTCTTAGGTTTCTAGTATACAGGCTTTCATAATTTATAAGATTAGTTACCTACTATTGGACATTTTAGTTGTTTCTAAATTTTTCTTGAATAAATCTCTCTCTCTCTTTCTCACACACACACACACACACACACACACACACACACACACACACACACAAAACAGATCATTTCAAACAAGGCAAAAAGCAAATTGGTATATTCTCTTTTAAGAACAATTAGGCTACTAAAATCAAAATATTTATGCATACACTCTGACTTAAAAATTCTACTTATATACATTTGTGCAAGTGTTCAAAAATAATTGTACAGGGACATCCACTGAATCAAAAATTGTATTAACAGATGACTAATGACACAACACAAATGCCAGTAAGCCGAGTATGGGTTAGATAAGTTATATCCATAAATACAATACTAGGCAAATACTGTTTAAAATGTTGTAGCACTATATGCACTAATAAACAGATATTCAATGTTATGTGATATAAGTTGTAGAACAGTACTATGATTACATTTATGTAAAAAAGTAAAAACAGAAGGTAACATGCAGATACACATATGTTTGTATGTACACAGAAACCTTCTAGAAAGATTCAACAACTACTAACAATGGTTACCTCTCAAGAGTATGATGAGTGGGCCAGGGAACAGGGAATAAGAAAGGCATGTCTTTTCCCTTTATAACCTTCTGTACTAACACTAACAGATATTGCAAGCCACCAATGCAATTTTAGGTTTTCTAGGAACCACATTAAAAAAGTAAAAAGAAGCAGGCAAAATTAAGTTTAATAATATATTTTATTTCACCCAATGTAACCAAAATATTATCATTTCACTAATCAACATAAAATTATTAACATATTTTGCATTCTTTTGTTCACTCTAAGTTTTCAACATCCAATGTGTATTTCTCACATTTCATACAACCAAGCACATCTCAGTTCGGTCTGGTCCCATCTCAGGCACTCATTGATCTTATGTGGCTAGGGGCTAGTGTTCCACACAGTAGTTATACACTGACCTTTGCAGGAACCATAAACACGTGTTAATTCTACTTCAAAAATTTAAAAAGCATAATACAGTTTCAGTTACAACCTCCTTTTCTTCAGGTGCCTCCCCTTTAAGTTCTGAGGGGGGAAGAAGAGCAATGATGGCCTAGAAATCCCAAGATCTGCCCATAGTAGGCTCACGACAAGCAAGAGTTTAATTGCAATGAAGTCTCACCTCTTTATTTTCAAAATGGGCAGTCAGGTCTTGTTTTAATATTCTTGTTTGTATTTTGTTTTCCCTTGATTTTGCTGGCCGCTGTACTCTTCCCGACGTCACTTTCACCTTAAGATTACCAGAATTCAGTTTATTCTTAGGTGAATCTTCAATCACTTTCACTAGAGGAGGAGGTGGCTAAAAGGAAAAAAAAAAATTCACCAGCTATCCTTGGAAAATAGACTTGTTAACATAGATTTATAAAATTCATTTTGATCAATTTAATAATGTATCTTAGTATATATAATGATTCTTCAGGCAAAAAGGGTAAATAAAATATCCTAGAATGTTTCCTTGTCGACTAACAAATCAAAGCAAATTTCTGCCAAATTCCTGGGAAGAAGAGAACAAAGGTACATGATTAACAGCAATAATGAATAGAATTCAATTATTCCTCGAATGCTGGTCTTAAATCATAAGGGTATCAATCTATTTTTTACACTTGCAGGATAAAGCTGCTAGTACTGTGATAACCTGCAGCAGAGAAGACACAGTGAGACATGCGGCCCTCCACAATGCTAAGAGAAGCACCCTGGTATTCTTTGGGCTTGAGTGAAATTTCTGAGGGAAGCTGTCAAATGACCCTAGTCTGGAAGTAAAGGACCCCTGCCTCTCTGTCCTTCGTTATGCTCTTTGATCTGCACAGTGATGGCTGTCAGTCCCTTACTGTATCAGCAGAAGAGGCAGTTCAGACAGCACAACCAAGTTCCAAACCCTCCTTTTTAAGGGAGCCTATCAAACAGGAAAATAAACATTCAAAACTTCAATTTATGTAGTATATTGAGATATATTTCATATCCATAAAATTCTTCCATGTAAAGTACACAGTTCAATGATACTTAATATATTCACAGAGTTCTGAAACCATCACCACAATCAAACCTTAGAACACTTTTATCACTCCTAAAAGAAACCACACACACATTAACAATCATTTTCCATTCCCAGCTTCCTCACCCCTAGCCCCAGGTAACCATTAATCTCTCTGTCTCTATAGATTTGCCCGTTCTGCACATTTCACACAAATGTAATCATACAATACTTTGGTGTTTTGTGACTGGCTTCTTTTTACTCAGCATAATGTTTTCAGAGTTCATCCACATTATAGCATGCATGCATCAGTATTTCATTCTTTTTTATTGCTGAGTAATATTCCAGTTGTATGAATGTATCACATTTTGTTTATCCATTCTTCAATTAGTTTTTTTTTTTTCTCATTTTGGGACCATAATAAATGAACATTTATGACTATGAACATTATGTACAAGTTTTTACGTGGATGTGCGTTTTCTTGAGTATATACATGGGAGTGGAATTTCTGAGTTATATGGTAACTATGTTTAACTTTTTGAGGAACTGCCAGAAAGTTTTCCAAAGTGGCTACACCATTTTCCATGAATACATTTTGAATTTCTGCCCATGTGTTCATAGACAATAAAATATTTTTGAAAAAAACAAAAAGAACACTTCAATTTATATATGGAAAAATTATTCACTGGAACATTTTCCTTGTGAATAATATGCTCTTTGAAATCAAAAGCTCTTCCTTGTTCAATGGAAATAAGCAGATAAGGTAATTTAGGCTTTCTGAGTTGTATGTGTGATTAAAGTATAATGACTTTCACAGGATAAACATTTGAGTCCATTACTGCTAATTGTTCCCCTAGCAATTAGCCCAGATGCAAATCAAAGACAAGGTGGACTTGTGATTTTTTAAACAAAGTTTTGGAAGCTAAAGTGCCAATTCCTTTCATATGAGGACAAGAACACAAGGAACACCCCATATATCCAAATGACCTATTAGATTTCAGAAAAACTTATTTTACAGATTACTTGAATTCAAACTGTCATAAAGCCAGAACACTGTTCTTGTAGGATGACATATACTGCAAATGACATCACCACTCTTCAGTGAAACCAAAGTTTTTGACGTCCTCCCATCTCACACCCCAATAAATAAACAAAGCAAACATATGAACTCTTTCTATAGCATAGACTACTGAAAGAGTAATTTGAAGTTTCACACAAAGATTTTTCTTATGTTGCCTTCAGAGGTTTAGGACTTCTGCTTTTGAAACCTGTAGCCTACTAGGGGAGAACAAAAAAGTGTTCCCTACTGTCAACTGCAGTATTAATGCATGTGTAACACTGCAAAATGTGCAGAGCAGGTTAATGTGGCCATACACATGGCACAGATGTCATATTGTTTAAGTGTTTTAAAATTATGAAAGGCATTTAAAGTTTTACTTTTATACCAACCAATAAATACATAACTGTTTTGTGTGTTTAAAGTATCTGTAAGATTTTTAAATAATGTTTTTCTAGTATATGTTACTTATTCACATCTAGATAACTTAAAAGGATAATGCAAAATACAGTAACAACAGCTCTGACCAAAAAAATGTACAATGACCACTTATTCTATGATTTAATTTTCAATTCTTTATCTATGAAATGCAGTTAACAGTGGTCTGACTTCTGAATATTGTCCACCTTTAATATCTTTGAACTACATACTCTCTAACCGCAGTCTGTAATTCTAAATCTTCATTCAAATTTCTATTCTAGTGCCATGTTTTTTCCTATTTGAACTTCCTGCTCTCCCATAAAATAAAATCTCCCCAAAATTAGTCTGAGATGCTGACTTGAATTGCCATATCTTCATAGTGGTAAAACTTCAACACATAAGTAAGAACTAGCTTACTTATTAGCACAATACTAGAAATTCTCGAGTGGCAAAAAAACCAGGACTTGACGGGATGAGACATGGGTAAGTTAAGTTTTGTATAGAATATAGACCTGGGCATTTGTATAGGCCTGGAATAGCCATAAAATACTACTGGTGCTAGTACCATGTCCAAAAAAAATCCTACTTCTGTTATAAGGTAGCTTTTTGCTGGTCAGTATGCTTAACAATTTGCAGAACAAAAAGGAAGTCAGTGACTCACTCTTAACCTTGGCTTTTCTGAGATTTCATCCCTCTTTTATTAATAACATTTATCTAACTTTTATAAAATTCAGCTAGGCTGAAAACTCACATTAAGAGGAAATAATAATGTTATTAAAAGTTTTAAAGTCTACAAGAACAGAAGAGTATAATTCCATGTTTGAAGAAAATGAACATGTGTGTGTTCATGTGTGTGCACACACACACACAGAGGATTCTCATTATTTGCAGTGCTTACGTTCTACAAAGTCGCTGTAAATACTCAGTTAGTCAACCCCAAGTCATTGCTCTTAAGAAAAATACAGAGTTAGGTCCCTGTGAGCTCTGGTTACATTTTTGTCATCAATCAATATGTAACCTTATGTGTATGTTTTCATTTAAAGACACACATATATATATATTACATATCACCGATTCATTAACACTGAACTCATGCTGATAGCACTGACTCATGCCTGAAGGAAGTTAAACTATCACAGCCTTCTTGAGCTTAGGAATGCCAGACAGCACTTCAGCACTCTGCTTGGGGACCAAGAGCTACATCGCCAACAAAGAGCACAAAAATGGGAAACATGTGGCACTAACTAGACCATGACAATGATGCTTATTTCCAGTGTGAGGGCAGAGAGCTGTCTTGTCTGACCTGAGCTAGGAACCTCCTGCATGTCAGGCAACTCAAATATTTTGCTGCTCTGTGCATGCAAACGTCTTACGAATAGACGGTATTGATTTTACAAATAAATTTTCACTGGAAGGCAAATTCACAAACACAGGACTGTGAATAATGATGATTGACTATATACATTTACACACGTAGAAAAAAAGAAGACTGGGAAAGTATACATATCAAAATCATCTGAGCATGGTGAGATTGTGAGTAACATTCTATCTGTTTATCTGTATCTCTTGATTTTTCTCTGTAATAAGACACTTATTACCTGTCTACCTAAAACAATAAAATTAAAAAAAAAAGACAAAAATAACCGGTACCTAGCAAAAAAGATTATATTAAGAATCGGACACCTGGGACTATTAATGACTAGCTGTGTGATTGGGTGAGGGAGGGCCCTCCTTCTCTGTAAAATGAAATGGGCAAACTAGGTAATCACCCAAGTCCTTCTTAGGGCAACTATGATACAATTTCAGACTTGAAAAGGCCTCACATAGACAATCAGACTTGGTAACACTGGGGGAAATTTTAGGTAACTGTAAAAGAGAAGTGGGAAGTATATTTTAGATGACATGACTAGCGTAGATAACAGATGTAGAAATGAGAATGGTGTCTATGGGGGACAATGAGGGAAGTTATAAGTATGGTGAAATAGTTAGATGGGAAGAGTGGGTAAGATGAGAGAGGACTTTGAGAACCAGGTAGAAGAGTCTGGACTTAATGCAACAGGCAAAAGGAAGGAGTCACTAATGTGACACTATTTAAGGAATGATGAAAGTATTATTTTAGGAAAATTTATTGAAAACATGGATTGATAGGCAAGGGAAGGCACTGAGGGCTCTGAATTTTGGTATACCTGTTGAAATTACTGTTACTCAAAAGCAGTTAATGGAGTAGCAATACAGGGTGGGCAATATGGAGTTGGAAAACAGGCAGCACATATAGAGGTAGTTCATATTTAAGAATTACATGACTTAGTGTTGACTACATTTAGGAAATAGAGGGAAAGTAACAGTCATAGTGCACCAAGGTTTCTAGACTACAAGACAGGAAGAGAGAGAAATGAAGAGACTGGGTTAAAGATCTCTTTAAGGAAGCAGATCACAGGGGTACCTTTAATGGGAAAGAGACACCCAAAAGATGCCTTGTAGGAAGGCAGCAATTTAAAAAGGAAGCATAGGTGAGAAAAGTCTAGAGATGTGGCTTTAGGAATTAAGAACAAAAAAATAATACCCAGGAAAATAGATAAGGTCCAAGTAAGTTATAAAAATGGCAGTATAAAGATTTAAATCTTTAAAAAAATGACAGTTTACTTGGTAACATACCTTGTTTATTTCCTGTGTTAAAGACTGAACTGAATATATGTTCAGACTCCCATTTTCCATAATAGATGCAATATACCGACCATGTGGGCTAATCACTGATGAGCTAATTCCTTCATCAAGGCTCCCAATTTCAAAGAGAAGCTTACAAGTCTGCGTATTAATAAATCTCATAATTCCATCTTGACTTAGTACTCCAAGAACCTAAGAGTAGAGAGAAACAATATAAATTCCTATTAACACATTTAAAAGTCAAGTGTCTCAGATGTTAACTAGACATACTGTGGTGATCATTTTACAGTGCGATCAGTATCAGATCATCATGTTATACACCTGAAATTAATGTTATATGTCAATTACACCTCAGTTAAAAAAAAGTCAAATGTCTGAAAGTCAAACTATATATACACACATGTACAATATATGTATGTACACACAACACACACACACATATTCTTTGTTTTTGTTTTGAGGGGAGGGCATTCAGAGAAGATTATATTTGCAGAGGGCCACCATATATTTTAGAATCCCTATTATGGCTCATGTAGCTTTGCCCTATCCAGGTCCAGATAAGCCTGGCACTGAGCAGACCCAGGAAAGTGACCCTGCTGGGATGGGTCACCTGAGAGTCTTCTTCCGAGGCTGGCCACATCTGCACTGATCCAACCTAGGGAATACAGATGATCAGACAGCTCTTAGCTGTGGCCTCCACACTGGCTGTCAGAAGCAAGGAAGGTAGAGGTTTTTCTTTTTCTTCACCATCCCCACAGCTTATTCAGAGTTAATATCTGTCCTGCTGCCCCCATACAGATTTGATTCCCAGCTGTTGTAACTAACATCTGGGGAGCAGAAAAAGCCTGTGAGTTGTAAGGGTAGTGCACGGTAAGAGGAAAGAGCCTTCTAAGGGAAAAAAGAATTTCATTTTAACTCACAAAATTTGAAAAATTAAAAACATGCACTGAAAGAGCTAAACAAATAAACAAAAATCCTCCCACTGGCTTGGCTGTGCAGAGAGTCTTTTCCCACTGCCAGGGGCTGGTAAGCAGGCCACCATATGACTGCCTGAAACACTGATGGCACTTTTATACGAAAGACTACAGGTGGGAGGTAGGAGGCATTCTGAAGGTGACTATCTAAAAGGCACGTTCTTCTGTAGGTTAGGTAGCAGAAACACCCTCATTCACAGCTCCTACAACCTCTCTGGAGGGCACAAAGGATTGGTTAAAAAAAACTATGAAATTCTATGTAGCTGTAAAGAACAATGAAGTTCTGTGCTGACACAGAACAATCTCCAAGGTAAATTAAGTAAAGAAAATCAAGGTGCAAAGTTGTATAAAAAAGTGGGGGGAAAAAGATATATAACAGTACTGGCTATGGAGAGTGAATAACTGGGCAAATGGGAGCCAGCAGTAAGATTTCACTTCACAGTTTCCATATTTTTTAAGTTTTTCAACCATGTAAACACATTATCTGTTCAAAAAACTTAAGTTAAAACAGATATAAATATACTTGTACATATCATATATACATAAAACACACACATATATGCATACAAATAATTGCTAGAGTGCAAGACCCAAGATAAGAGAGGTAAGGTTTGACTACTCAACTATTAAAAGGAAAAAAGGTGTGTGGAGGGAACTTTGTAAACTAAAGAAAACACGTTTCATAGGACAGAGGTAACCATTCCTGGGAGATACAACATAGTATAACAAGGTAAGAAAATTTTAGTTCTAGTCCCACCTTTAATCATTACAATTAACAGGACAGTTGACAAGTCGGTTAATGTTTCTAAGCTTTAATGTCATAACCTGTATGATGGTGAGAATCCTTCACTGCCTGTGTGCAAAAATTCTTTAAGGATCAAATAAAAAATAACTTGCTAGAGCACTCTGTAAACAATAGAGTATAACAAAAATACTGATTTTACAGAAAAGGTAAGCTGTCAGTTATATACAGAACCTAAGTTCTTAAATTTTTTTCAGTTTTAGACTCCATAAAAATATTAGCAGTTTGAAATCCTTGTAACATCAGGGTGTGAGCTAAATGGGAAAGCTAGTACAAATCAGAAATTGATATGACCTTTCAACAAGTGTAACAACTGATTAGAGCTAGTATACTAACCTGATTAGAACCAGCATCAAAACTATCAGGAAGAAATTCTAGATAGCGAATGGCTCGAACTTTAGTAGGCATCTGGATAATTCTAAAGAGCTGTTTAGCTTCCAAGCACCACAAATGAAGATGATTTGATTTACCTCCAGCAGCCAGAATTCGACCATCTCTATATAATAAAAAGGTGAGAAAATAAGACTAGACAACTTGTGTGTAGTGGCACTTTCAACACGACACAACATGAATGTTGTGTATGCTATACAATATGGTCACTACTGGCCATATGACTGAGAACTTGAAATGTGGCTACTGTTTCTGAGGAAATTAATTATTTTATATATTTTTTATTAATTTAAATAGTGCCATGCACCCAGTAGTTGCCATACAGTAAAGCTCAGGTTTACAGCATATATATATATTTATTTTTTACCTATTTTACTAAGATACCATGTTAACAAACATTTTTTGATGACTCAATTAACACTTATATTTTACAGCATACTTTCAAAGTCCCTTACCACTATCTAACTTTCTATATTTCATATACAGCTATACTGAATCAGTACAGCATTGCTACATGAAAAACCAAAAGGCCCAAACTTGTTTTCCTGCTCAAAGCTGGTGTTTGTTATAAGGCACAAAAAGAATAAGCTATATTAACTTGCAAGGTGGCTGCTCATTCATCCACCAAAAACTTGTAAAGTTGTTGACTCTAAGCCAGGGACACGGTGAACAAGACAGGTAAGACCTGTGCCCTGAAGGGATGTGCTGCCAGGAGGAAGGCAAACACACACATACATGAACCGGATCTCAGCCAATGATACATGTTATCAAGAGCTCTAAAACGAGGTGACGTTACAGAGCTGGGCAAGGAGGGAGAGTCCTGAGACAGTGGATGAGCCGTCATGGGATGATGTGGAGAAAGACTGCCATGCTGGTTTGTCTTCCAGACTGGTGAGTACAAGTGTACTGAGAAAGGAGTAAGGTTAGTACTTAAGGAAGAGAGGGAAGCCATACTCACAGGCGGCCGGAACCGAGTAAGGGGAGGAGATAAGGTGAGGAAATAGAGAGAGGCCCCAGGGGAGATGGTGGGGCTTCTGGATTTTATTCTAAATGCAATCGAAAGCCCTAAGGGGCTCAATAGGGAAGTAACACCTTTGATTTAATGATTTAAAAAGACCACTCCATCTGCTACCTAGAGACTGCTTTAGGAAATGAGATTGAAAACAAGGAGATCAAATAAGGAGGCTATTACAGCAGTCTGAGAGAGAAGAGGGTAGCTTGGGCCAGGGAAACAGCTGTGGTAATGGACCAAAAAGTAGGTCAGTTCAGGATAGTTTGGTAGAGTTGATGGGATTTACTAATGACTTAGAAGAGGAGGGTGAGAACAGGTATTTCCTAGCTCTTTTCACTGAAAAGGCCTGGAAACAATGACCACCCAGTAATGATGAGCACCTCTAGCATCCAGATTAGGTCTTACAATACCATTTCCCATTAAAATGAACCGAGGCTCCTTAGAGAAATGGCCAATTTCTTGTTTGGGACAGAAAATGTGTAAGATAAGCCTGGAACATCTTGTCAGATCAGAAAGATGAAAGCTTTCACAGATAACGGGTTGTATTAAAGAGTTCAAAGCCAACCTGAAGAAGATTCCACTAGTCAAAGATGAGAGAGCTAGAGCACCACTAAGAAAACAACTTCATGCCATGGATTTCTGCCTAAATTCATGAGTTTACAAAGATTAAAGACAAAAACTTCATTGGCCACCTTTGGAAGATGCCAATAACCCAATTCATTATTTCAAAAAACATTTTTTTAAACAAGAGAGGGAAAATCCAACTTTTATCCTGCCTTTCCTTTACAAGCTGTAAAGTAACCAAAGAGTTGATGAGAGGAAGTTTCTTTCTATAGAACTTTTCCAGTGAATAAGAGAAGAAATGACAGAATTAGAATAGCAGTGTTTTGCTAACCCCTAATACAATACTGGATCTAAGTAATCAGTGGCCACTAATTTCATCAGAGAAAGAGTTCTCTGTTCCTTCTGACAAGAATATATAAATCACCTATAATGTCTTCATGCCCCCAAATCAAAACTGAATTGGACCAAACCTCTAATTTTTAGGAAGTACAGGTGTAACCAGTTTACAGGAAATACAGATGACAGAGAATCATTAGGCAACAACGTGGGATGCAAAGAATAAACTCAGACTACAGAAAATTTCGAGGACAAAAGACCAGTTCTTAAATAAATGAACTGCAAGGAAAAAATACAGAGAGGGATATATCAACCAAGACAATGTGTGAACCTTGTTTTATTCTTGATTTGAACAAACCAATCATAAAAACCAACCATAAAGGACAAATCAGGGAAGTCTAAATAAAGACTAGTTAATAATAATATTAAGAAATTATTTTTTAAAAGTGTGATAATAGTACATTACGGGTTTTGCTTCCAAAAGGCCCTTATCCTTTAGATACACACTGAAACATTTATGGAAATGATACGTTTGGGCTGTGCTTTTAAGACAATGCAGTAGGGAAGTAGTACAGTTAGCAATAAAATAGAAGTGGCTGTTAGCTGATGATCATTATAGTTCATGAGAATATTGTAATTAGGCCTTCACGAACTTTTCTATTTCTGTGTATATTTGAAATTTTCCACACTAAAGTAAAAAAAAAAAAGAATACTACAGGCCATACCTAAGCTTGAAGGAAACTTCCTCACATGACAATAAGAATGAAAATGAATGAAAATTTATGTAATTTCACTGGAAGTTAAATTTCTTGAAAATTCTGTGTCTTAAAATGGACATTACCTGGTCACAGCAAACACTTTGTATAATATATTAGAGCTTTCAGGTGGACCTGGCAATTGATATTTGCAAAAAAGAGTATCACACTCCCAGGCGAAGATGGAATTATCCTTAAAACAGCTGAGGATGGTATTACTTAATGGTAGAAAGAAGACCTAAAGAGGGAGAAAAAGTTGTTGCTCATGTAAGATCATAGCCCTCTTTAAATTTAGCATTATACAAATCGTCAGTTTTTCTTTTTAAAAATTACTTTTTCCTTAAATGGGAGAAAAATACATTTACAATATATGATGGTATAATACTGATATTTCATATACTATTATAAACTAGAAAGAAAGGGCAAACTTAAAAATAAAAAATAGGTGACTATAATGGCTAGGCAATTCATAAAATATTAAGTGACAATTTAAAAATTATTTAACCTTATACAAGATTCAAATGAAAATACAAGATCATTTTATATGTATCAAATCTACTTAAAAAATACACACATAAACAAACTGCATACTAACATACATGTTCTATTTGTAAACTATACACACTAATATAAACACTATATTAAATACTAACTATTCATAAATGTTAAAAATATTAAGTGTTGGTGAAAGTATAGGGAAAGGGCATTGTCATACATAGCTGTTGGTAATAAACACTGGTTATACTGTACAATATATCTCAACTGCCTTAAAAATATACATATCTCTTCTGAGTTGAAAATATCATTTTATTCCCTTAATTTGTTTCCCATTATGTAAGCACTAAAAAGGCTTACTGTTTTTTTTTGGATTCTATGATTTTTTTTGTATCATTAATATACAATTACATGAGCAACATTGTGGTTACTAGATTCTCCCCATTATCAACTCCCCTGCACATACCCCATTATAGTCACTGTCCATCAGCATAGTAAGATGCTGTAGAATCACTATTTGTCTTGTCTGTGCTATATTGCCTTTCCCGTTCCCCCGCCTCACATTATGTGTGCAAAAAGGCTTACTTTTGATAACATAAATTTTTAATTAAAGTTGACCAACACTTTCTCATATAAGTTTTAACAGCTTCAAATATAATTTTGTGTGTCATCTGTGTAAAAGACACAAAAGGGAGGGAGGAAGAAGGAAAGAAGGAAAGAAAATAGAAGAAACCAATGTCTTAAGGACACAATACTCCTGCCCATCCTCTTAAAATAAATCAAATCGCCTGAGACATTTCATATGGTTTGATCTTTAGTTACATCTCTAGTATTAATTCTCTGATTCCCATCTAGTACAGCCTTCTTAATGTTATGGCTTATTGTAACACTTTATATCTGAACATATTTTGTTACTGTTTTTACTAGTGTGTCTTTATAAGCTTTATTGTTTTTAAAGACACATGATTGTTTCTGTGTTGGAAAGAGAAGAGCAGGGACCCACCGAGGAGGCAGAACACTAAGAATTTGTGGCTTCTCATTCCAATCTTTGACTTATTATACACTTTCACAATTCTACTCGGGTCAGGCGGAGGCCTGTTTTTCTTCTGGAATGGTACAGTCTTGGGGATGAAGCAGTCATCACCTTTAAAACTGGACTGCAGTGTATCTTGAGTATTTAGAATCTGGATATGGCCATCCTCACAGTAATGAGACAGCAGGCCGGACATAACCGTCCAGGGGAAAAGTATGATCAACACCAAATCTACCATGGCTTTTCCTAATGTTATAAAAATAATGGGTCAATAAGGCACCTATACAAAATACTTCTGCAACCCTGCATCTAATTTGTTATTGTCATCCAGCCTATTATATACATATAGTTCGGAAATGATTTTAATAGTTGATGATATTATTATAAAAAGTTCAGGGGATCATAAGGTATAACTTTCAGACTATTATCACAAACTCTGTTTTTTCTCGTACATATGTAACCGCATCTCTTTTCACAATAATAAATAGTGCTTAAGAAAACTACACACATATATAATGCACTATGGAACATATTGCCAATTAAAACAATTTACTCAGGATTACTACTACTACTAAGACACAGTAAAAAAATGCTAACTCAACTACTGGTCTTGCCTGATTCAGCTCTTCACTTTTGTCTTTGGCTCACTTTGTCAAAGACAATCTCTGGTAGGTCTTTTGCCAACAGATTCAGGCAGATTTATAATATGAAGGTCTTATAGAAAGAATCTGCAGTGAATACATTATGATCTATAATGAATGCATTAAAACATTGTTTCAAAACCAATGCCAAAAAAAGTGACTTAACAGACTGTTGAGAATTAGGCATGGGGTTGATTAATGATTGTGCATTGAGTCCCCTATACAGAATTTTGTTGTTAACAACCATATGATCAATAAATGAGAGATGCCCTCTCAAAAAAAAAAAAAAGTGACTTAACGTTTTTATTATAATTAGCAATATTTTTCTAGAAAAAAAGTTTATTCCTACTAAGAGAAGCAAAAGCTTAAAAGTTAATGAGCATCAATTGCTATTTCAGGGGAATAACTGTGATAGATTACTGCTTACATGATTATTCATTACTAGATGTGTGATTTTAATTACCAGATTTTAATGATTATAAAATTGTTCCTAATGAATCATGTCATTTAGTGTCACCTCTTGACAAAAATAAAAGGCTTAAAAAAAAACTTCCAAGCACTAACAGAATGTATTTTTTAGAGGGTTGGATACAAGGATGGGCTGCAGTTTTTCCTTACAAAGTATGAAAATCCTAGGCCTTCCAATTCATTTTTTGAGAGGAATGTGAGTTCTCTTCAAAGTTTGAATAATTCAGGGTAAGTAACAGGAGCAAGTTAAGTCAAATGCAAAATTCAGCAAAAATTTAGTGACTGCCCACTGTATACAGACATTGAATTAAGTTCAGTAACACACTCTGTTAAATGTTTTCTGACATTCATCACAGAACATTTTCTGGTACATGTTGAACTATAGTAATTAGAAATCTCAGGATTTTTTCCAAAATCCTTGACTAAAGAGCTAAACATTTTATCTTCGAGTATCAAAAAAAGAATAAACATTTACTAATGTGAAGAGGTATGACTGGTTTACCTGAGAGGCAGAATGGTGTAATGGAATGCCTTTAAGGGTAAGACAGGCTTGGATTCAAATGGCAACTCTGTGACACTGGGCAAGTGACTTAACGTTTCCGAACTTCAGTTTCCCATTTGTAAAAGTAAGGATAACAGTACCTTTTAAGATTATTTAAGCTTAAAAATAGCTAAGCAAAGTGTAAGGTACATAGTAAGTACTCAACAATTGGTATCTATAACCATTAGTATTAATTTTTGTTATTGCTAGGTACAAAAATCAGAAAGATGTTAGAGTGATAGGTTCTTTTATGTTTTTTTGGAGAGTCAATTCAAGCTGTTAGCTTTATACAAAGAAAAACTATGTTTTGCTCCCCAAAATTGCTCTTCTCATGCTAATGAATCTTTTTTTTTATTAAGGTATCATTGCTATACAACCTTATGAAGGCCTCACATGAGCAACATTGTGGTTATGGTTACTACATTCACCCATTTTATCAAGTCCCCATACACACCCCATTGTAGTCACTGTCCATCAGGGTAGTAAGATGCTATAAAGTCACTACTTGTCTTCTCTGTGCTATACTACTTTTAGAGTGGTAGGCTCTTTAAAAACATTTAGAAGTCAAAGTTCTTTATCTGAAACCCTTGGGCTCAGATTATTCCAGAATTTAGAATTACTTTCAATTTGAGAAAAGTAGTATGATGCATATTCTGAAACATTATGTGGAACCCTTAAGTGACGTGGAGCAACACCCCATATTGAAACATATCAATATTTCAGCTTCACGTAAATTCAGTCCAGAGTCTGCTGCCAAATGAACTCAGGTCAGATCAGATTTTGCCGCCAAGTGATTTACTTTAAAACTTGGGTTTCTAAATGTTAGTAAGGGATTGTGCATCTATTTAATGTAGATCAAAAGAAAAACAATACAGTTATTTGCAACCTTTCAAGAACAAATCTAACTGTTCTGAGATAATCCCCTAATAGAAACAGATAATAGATGGCAATAGATAATAACAACAACAGAAATAGCAATTGTGGCTAACTTTTACTAAGCACTTACTGTACAACAAGCATTATGCTAAACGCTTTGCAGAGATTATCACATTCAATGCTGAAACCAACCCTAAGGTATTAATTATTACTATTTCACCTTTCACGTAAGTAAATTGCTTGTCAAAAATGTTTAACTTGAATTTACTCAAGCCTTTAGACTTGACTTCTAGTTTATAAGAAATACAGGTGGGAGAACAAATTAAATAATATAATGATGAAATAGTATGACAAATCAGAATGCGGGGCATTTTCCTAGACAACTGGCCTGGTCTCTGGCTCTCAAAAAAAAATTGATGTCATGGAAAAAAACAAATCGTAGGAGACTGTTTTAGATTAAAAGAGACATAATAAAATGCACCCATAGCATCATATATCACCAACTCATCAAAAAGAAAAAAAATCACAGGAATTCCATTCAAAATTTAGAATTAGAAACTGGAATAAAAACATAAGTTTAATAAAACTTGATGAGAGTGTAAGTTTTACTTTAAAATTAGTTGACAGTTATTTCCTATTTTTAACAGAATAAGCCAGAAGTGGTGACCATCTGGCCCCACTCCAGCTCTTACATAGCCCAGGAGCTAAGAATGGTTTCAACATTTTAAAATTATTTCATTTTACATAGTTCTACAAGTACACACATAATATCCTCAATTTTGCTCTTAGACTGTGAAACAAAAAACATATTCCTATTAACAAGTTTGCTGGTAAATTATAGACTATGGTGCTCTATTATTTTAGAACAACATGCTTATATGCATACCGCATACTATATATACATTTTCTACATTTAATTTTATTCTCACCTCACTAATACTTGGAGTCCTGTTTTTTAAACAATAATATCTACATGATCAAGCAAGGTTAGAATTGGTGACTATCCAATGTAATTAATTTTATTTAATTTCACGGTAAAAAGAACAGATGATTTTTGTGTCATTGTTTCCTAACTTGGTTTCTATCGTGGATTCCACTCCAAGTGTTCCCTTCTTTGGAATTTAAAATTCAATTTAACTAATAAAGCAATTAAAGAAGAAAATGCCTACTAAGACATTTGGCCTAAACCCCTGAAGGGTAAGCCAGCTACAACGTTTATCTTTTTTTTAATTATTAAAGGCAAACTAAAGAACTCTGGGATTTCCATGAAGACTGAAAAATAAATTTTTGGTCCACATGCACTACTAGCTGCTTCTGTTAGTAACCAAGAAATTAAAAGCAATGCTGCATATATAATATAACCTGAAGCAACATAATTAATCACATAAGAGACTCAAGCAATCCTGAAAATAGTATTTAGCTAATCAAATAGAAAGAAAAAATTAAACCTTAAAAGCAAAAGAAATGGAATTTAAAATAAAGTGATAAAAATGTATAGAATGGAATATTGCTCAGTGCTGATACAACAACATGGACGATTCTCAAAAACATGGGGGATGAAACAAGCTTTACACATGCCATTACTGACTAGCTCTATCTATGTAAAATTTTAGAACAGATAAAACTAATCTATGATGGAACATCAGAGTAGTTGTTTACCTGGAGCGGGTATGATGAAACTTTCTAGGATGATGATAATGATAGTTTTGCACAGGTTGCAAAGATGCATATATTTGTTAAAACTAAAGAAATGTACCTTAAGGTTTGTGCATTTCATTATACTTAAATTTTACATCAAGAAGTACTGAGCCCTAGTCAATTAAATGTATGTGTAAGTATTTAAGGGCAATATACTGATGTCTGCAATTTACTTTAAATGGACAAAAAAAATTAACAAACAGATGGACAAAAAGAGACAGATCCATAATATAGTACAGTAATACCTAAGCACAGTAAAGGATAGCACAGGAACATATTAATGGTAGTGTTTGGATGGTGGTGGGTGTACATGTGTGCACTGTGAAATTCTAACAAATCTGTTGTATGTTTGAAATTTTTTGTAAGAAAATGTTGGAGGGTTAAAAACCAAAACAAAACCAATCAGCTAAATAAAAACTATCACCTTACTAAAGATGAAGATACATACTACAACAGTAATTTTTTAAAAACCTCAGTTAAGTTATAAATTGCAGCCACAGGTGATGTCTTCAATTCTGCAGGCCACTCTGCTTTGCTTACTGCTTACTACTGAGCTATAAGAACATTTCTATAAGGGACAAAGTGAATCATTACTCTTACGTCATCTGTAAATCCTGCTGACTAAGAAACAAGCCCAAGAAGCCCCTCTCACTGACCTTTTGTATACCCACAGACTGGAGAATGTTCAGCTTTCTTTTCCTCTGAAAGTTATCCAAGTCCCATAGCTGTGCTGTATCAGAAGAAGTAGTGATGGCATATCTCCCCGATGCATGTACAGAGATCGAAAACACTGAAGATTCATGTCCTCTCATCCAGCTAACTAGGTCCTTGGTGACTGTGGCAAAAAGCACAATAGTTATACAGGTAAAACATATATCATCCAAGAATTGACTCAACTGAGGCACCTCCATTAACATCTACAAAAATGGCAGCTTTGGCTAGCTGATACCATGCACTGTGGGATGTGTTAGTATCATGCGTAACATGTAGGTATAAGGAGATCAGGCCCAAAAAAGGGGTAAGAAGAGCCTTACATGGGACACCAGGAGGTTTGGGCTTTTTCTTGTGAGAAACCCTTTTACATGAAAGAGTACTATATCTGATTTGTGTTTTAGAAAGAGCACTTTAAAGATATATGGTGGATATAATGGAATGAGGGAAGAGATTTGTTGCTGAAAAAATCCAGGCAGGCGATAGGAGGGTTTAAACTAAGAAAGTGGCCATGGAGAAAGGAACAAATTCAAGAGCTCTGAAGGAGAAGATGAAAGGACTTAGTGGTCAACTGGATGTGTTGAGATATAAGAGGAGTTAAAAGTCCAGTGATTCTGGCTTAGTTATATAAACAGGTGGTGATACTATTAACTGATGTAAGAAATAAATAAGGAGGGACAGATTTAGCAGTGTGGGAAGAAGAGATAATGACTTTGATTTTGAAAACTGATTCTTAGAGGTGTCTGTGTGTGTGTCACACACAAGCAGAGAAAACAGTCTGGCAGAAAAACACCAAGAACTATTCATGATAATTATCACTGGGTAGTAATATTATGTCATTTTTTTCCTCTTCATATTTTTCTGTGTTTACAAGTTTTCTATGGTATGCATGGTTTACTTTTATGTTCAGAACTTTTTCCTCCAGAAAAATGGAACTGAGGAAAACAGAAAGCAAGATGCAAAGCTGGGTGACATTAAGATACAAAGCAGTTCAAAACTGAAGACAGAGGAAGAGATAAACAGTTAGGGAAAGAGTAGTAGTTTCCAAACATTGGTCTCAAGTCTGGTATTAGTTAACAGTCAATTTTTCACTGGTTTTCAGTGGAATGAGAAAAATAAAGATAATGTAATGAGTTTTCAAAAAGCTAAACTTAAAGTGTTACACTTTAATCTGGTATTATATCCTTCCAAGTTTCTCGATGTTAAAGAAAAAAAATTCCTTGCTTTATGAAATGAAGTTATATTGTTTTCTTTTCAATGTCAATTAGCAAAATTAAAAGCCAATAACTTTTGTGGGTTCCTCTACTTTTTCTTTTTCACTGGGCCAAAAATCCAGAAGTCTAGGAACCATTAAACGAACCCAGGAGAGAGATAACTAAGAAGCTGTCAGCAAAGCAGGAGAACCAAGAGCAGTAACAGTATGAAAACTAAGACACAAAGTGCTACTGAGACAAAGGATGGAAAGTATAAAGAGGACTTAAACAGTTTACTAGTGACCACGGAGAGAGGAGCCTCCACAGCAGGAGTGGGGGGAGCAGAGGTCAGAATATGATCAGATGTGAAGAAGCAGGATTTGGCAGTGAAGAAAGAGGGAGGCGGCTGGGGAGGTGGAGACAACATCTGCTTCATGGGGTGGGGGTCAATCAGACGAACAGACTATAAAAAGATGGAACTAAGAAGAGAGAAGGAATGGGCAGAATGTAAGGAAAGTAATCACAGGTGAGTATAAAGACTTCGTTTTTCAGAATTTCTGTGACAGCAGTATTTGTAATACCAGAAACTGTTAGCAGTTTGAAGTCCACCAATAGCTAACAGGTTAGGTAATTATGGTACAGCAGACATCTTAGACTAGAATATTAGATACTGATTTCAACTATCTGAATTTTTAATGATGTAAGAAAATGACTCCACAAAACAAAATACAGGATGAGCATATACTTGTTAGAATATAAAAAGGCATATGCACAGAAAACAGACTAGAAAGATAGGCCCTGTTATAAAAACACCGTCTATCTCTGGGCGTTACTGAAGGATGACTGCCTTTCCATCTTGCATGTACGGTCAGAGTGTTGCAGTCGTTAAGAGCAGGGACCCTGCACTTAGTCTATCAGGTTGGGAATCCTGGCTTAAATAAAGATAATGTAATGAGTTTTCAAAAAGCTAAACTTAAAGTGTTACACTTTAATCTGGTATTATATCCTTCCAAGTTTCTCGATGTTAAAGAAAAAAAATTCCTTGCTTTATGAAATGAAGTTATATTGTTTTCTTTTCAATGTCAATTAGCAAAATTAAAAGCCAATAACTTTTGTGGGTTCCTCTACTTTTTCTTTTTCACTGGGCCAAAAATCCAGAAGTCTAGGAACCATTAAACGAACCCAGGAGAGAGATAACTAAGAAGCTGTCAGCAAAGCAGGAGAACCAAGAGCAGTAACAGTATGAAAACTAAGACACAAAGTGCTACTGAGACAAAGGATGGAAAGTATAAAGAGGACTTAAACAGTTTACTAGTGACCACGGAGAGAGGAGCCTCCACAGCAGGAGTGGGGGGAGCAGAGGTCAGAATATGATCAGATGTGAAGAAGCAGGATTTGGCAGTGAAGAAAGAGGGAGGCGGCTGGGGAGGTGGAGACAACATCTGCTTCATGGGGTGGGGGTCAATCAGACGAACAGACTATAAAAAGATGGAACTAAGAAGAGAGAAGGAATGGGCAGAATGTAAGGAAAGTAATCACAGGTGAGTATAAAGACTTCGTTTTTCAGAATTTCTGTGACAGCAGTATTTGTAATACCAGAAACTGTTAGCAGTTTGAAGTCCACCAATAGCTAACAGGTTAGGTAATTATGGTACAGCAGACATCTTAGACTAGAATATTAGATACTGATTTCAACTATCTGAATTTTTAATGATGTAAGAAAATGACTCCACAAAACAAAATACAGGATGAGCATATACTTGTTAGAATATAAAAAGGCATATGCACAGAAAACAGACTAGAAAGATAGGCCCTGTTATAAAAACACCGTCTATCTCTGGGCGTTACTGAAGGATGACTGCCTTTCCATCTTGCATGTACGGTCAGAGTGTTGCAGTCGTTAAGAGCAGGGACCCTGCACTTAGTCTATCAGGTTGGGAATCCTGGCTTCGCCACTTACAAGCTGCAGAACCTTAGTCAAGTTATTTCTGTGCCTCAGCTTCCTCATCTGCAAAATGAGGATAAGTTTCCATCTCAGTGGATTATTATAATGATTAAAATTAATTAATATACATAAAGTCATAGAATAGTACCTGGCAAAGAATGAACACCATGTGTTTGTTATCACTATTATTATCATTGTTGATATATCTTTCTAAATATTATATCAATTACCTTCAAAACAAGAAAAAACAATACAATCAAGATATCGTTTTCTTAATAAGGTTAAGCTTACAGAACTCTAAGTTCTCTAGAAAAAAATGTGGTATCAAATACATAGGTTACATTAAAAAGTATTTTCCTTATAACTATTCAGTGAGGAATCAGGCCTTCAAGGAGAGGTATGGCATTTGCCAGGCTCCTAGGAGGCAAAGGAGGCAACCCTGAACCCCTGGGATTTTCCTAGTTACAGTATTGTCCTTGTTATTCATGATAGGTCCCTCAGACTACAGCAGATGGGTTATGCTAACGAGAGAACCTCAGAGTGGGTGCTGGTCACACCAGAAAGACCAACCTATGTGAGTGATTAGAAGGTTGGGGCTTTGGGCCATGTGTTACCAGCCAGACCTCCAGAGACAGGAAGAGGGCTGGAAATTAAGTTCAACCAGATAGGTAATAATCCAATCAATCATTATCTATACAGTGCAGCCTCAGTAAAATGTTGGGACATCAAAGCTTGAATGAATCTCTTGGTTTGGCAAGACTCAGTGTGGATGGCTACACATTGGGAGGGTAACGTGTCCCTGAGGAAAACAAAAGCTTCTCTTTGGGGAGCCTCCCAGATTCTACCTTATGTGTCTCTTCCTCTGGCTGGGTCTAATGTGTAAACTTTTGCTATATCAAAAGCATAATCATAAGAATATCACTTTCCTGAGTCCTGTGAGTCATTCTAGATTATCAAATCTGTGGTAGTTATGGGGAACCCTGGATTTGAGGATGGTCTGGGGACCCCCACCCCCCAAACTGTGGCTAATGTCTGAAATGAGGGCCATCTTGTAGGGTCTGCTCCCTCAAACCATACAGATTGGCAAACTCCTTGCAGTACTTCAGTCTATACTTTACTCTGCTTCAAAAGATAAATAGGAAGACTGCTTACCTGTATCAAAACACTTAATAGAATAATCAGCTAATGCCACAAGGAATTCAGATTTTCTACGAAGATTAAAGGCCAGAGCTGTGCAAGCTTGTGCTGTTCGCTGAACAAGATTAAACCTATAAAAAGATTACTGCATTAGTATCAGAAATTCTTCTAATAATCATAAATTATACTTTGGAGAAGCCCTTAGAGATGAAGAAAATGAAGCCCAGAAAAATGGGTAGACCAAAAACAGATTATGAAGAGTGTTATATGCCTTGTAAAGGAGTTTGGATTTTAGTTATAAGGAATGGGAAGCCTTCAAAAGCTTTTCAGCACAGCAGAAACAGAACCAGACACGTCTTTTAGGAAGATGCTGGCAGCAAGGGCAAATGGAGAGAGGGATAAGAAAAGACCACCGAGAAAGCTACCACAGGGCATCTCAACTAGAGTTCTGGGTATGAAATGGGAAGGACGAATAGGAGAATGTCAGCAGTGAAGTGGATAGATGCTTGGTGATGCCTCAGACATGGGGTGAGGAGGGAGGAATCAGGAAATTCTTCACGTGTTTAGTGGAGAATAAAGTGACAAGTGATAAGAAAAGGTATCTCAAAAGCTCGTTGTGATGATTAAATGGAAGAATGTTAGGGGCTTAGCAGAGTACAGGGCACACAGCTACACTTTAATGATAGGAAATAGTAAGTCTGATTTTAAACAGGGGCCTTGAGTTTAAGGCCCCTGCAAAACATTCATAGCTGTGCTGTCCAAATGAAATATGTGGGCCACAGGTTTTTCTAGAAGCTACATTAAAAAAAGGTATAAAGAAACAGGTGAAATTAGTAACATTAATGACATATTTTACTGAATTTTAGTGTATCTACAATATAATTTCAACATGTAATCAATAAGAAAAGTAATGATATTTTACATTCTTTTTTTATGCTAAGTCTTCAAAACCCAGTGTGTATTTTATGCTAACAATGTATCTGAGTTTGGACTAACAACCTTTTAAGGGCTCATGAGCTACACACAGCTAGTTGCTCCTGCACTGGACAGCCCAATCTAGGAGATACCAGTAGGTAGTAGAAGTAGATCTGAGTTAACAGTATGTACATGGCAGCTGAATCCTGAGGCTTGGTGGTAACGAGACTATCAAAGAGAACACCTGGAATACGGAGGGAAGAAGGCCAAAGTCAGATGCCCTACAGAACAATAAAGGCGTAGGTACTGGAAGAGTCAGGAAAGCAAGGGAAAAGATGATCAGAGAAGTAGAAGAATCAGGAAAGAGTTGTACCTTAAAGCAAAAGAAAAAAAATTTCAGGGAGGCTGGGAAGACCAGAACTGAAGAGACCATTGGTTTGGGCAATTAGGAAGACTTTTAGCTAAGAAGCCTGATGCAGTGGGCTTTAGAATCAGACAGGCCTGATTTCAAGTCTCAACTCTGCCACTTACTCCTCTTCTCAGCTGTGAGTATTTATAGACAGAGACTAAAGGGACAGTGGACAAAATAAAAGAGAGAAACACTCAGGTGCAGAGTCCCAGGGGTGGCTATAGAAGACAGAGATTCGCACGGAAAGAAATTAGGATCACCTATTTTTATGAATAAAGTGACAAAGAGGTATGGATGATTGATTATATATTTGAGGTTGTAGTTGGGGAGGAGGAAGGAAAGCTTGAAGGCATCTATTTTCTCATGAATAAGGAGGCGAGGCAGCCACAATAAGGGTAGGGTTGGACACAGAAGACAAGGAAGTTGGTAAAGGTTAATACTCAGAGATTGGGAAAAGTAAGTAACAACAGATAAGTAAATGAAGTGCTAAGCATCATTGATACTGAAGTTCATTATTCTGTAATGGTACTACAAAAACAAGGTATTACAGATACTCTTAAAACCAGAACTTTAATTCTCTAAAACAACCTAAAAATACTATCTTTCTATTCTTTCTCACTTCCTTCCAACAGCACTGAGGACAGTGTTTCACAACGTACCTGAAATAGTCTTTCTGAATGAATAAGAGCAGATACTAAAACAATGAATTAATAACTTGTTAAATAAGGTAAATATCAAAAGAATCTGCTCACCTGTTTCCATGCAAGTCAAAAACATAGATATTTCCTTGATGGTCCCCAGCAATTAAGCAATCACCTGAGTTATCAAAAGCCATATTCAAAAATCGCAAAACTTTGGGAAGGTAATCAGAAGTGTTGTGAATAATGTTCACTATAATTCTGTCAAAAAAGGAAACACATTAAATTCTATGTTAGGCATTACTTATCATTATGAAAAATATGGCTTCAATAGTATGCTTCACTAATTTTATAGTATACTTTACTGAATTGAACCCTGTTCTATACTGAAGTCTTTTTTTTGCAATAGTCCTAAATAAAAACTGTTTTTACCATTTTAACTATTGTCCAACTCTGTTTTTGCTTTGACATTCCTGAAGGAGATGGGGGGAATAAATGTATTGAGATGACTAGTAATATAATTAAAATATTCCCTGGCAGTTAAACTCAGAGTAAACAACTTTTTCCTTCAGTCTTTTTTCTATAACATTTATTACGTGTTTGAGTTACAAATTACATGATCATTGCTCAAATGGCAAATACACACAAAAAAGAAGACACAAATAAGTAAACAAACACAATTGATTATAATCCTACCATCTAGATATAATTGCAATTACTAGCAACATTTTGCCTTTGATTTTTTCATATAAATCACACAGAGGGATATTTTATTTTAGAACAACTGCCTTTTATTGCTCATAGGTTACCTTACAGAGTTCCTCAGTTCTTAAACATATTAAAAACATCAAATATTTACTGAACACAAGATGCCCAAGACACTAATTTAAAGTCTTCGTAACACCCTAAGACAAGCCTGGCAAGTACGATTATCTCCACTTACAGTCTTACTGATTAACTTGCTTGAGGTCACAGAGCAAGTAAATGGACATTTAGTTTACCTAAAGCCCATCTGATTCCATAGTCAGTGCTCCTTTCCTTTCAAAACATTAACAATGGGTTTTAACCAACAAAAAGAAAGCTATTTTTAGTGGAAGGAACAAATAAGGACATTTGCACATTAATTTCTTTCCTTTTTTGAAGCTTGCATGTATATCTAAATATTCTATAACAGCAAGGAAGAAAATCACTGTGGGTCAGCAAGAGAACTTCAGAAGTAGGTATGGCATTTACATAAACTCCAAACTTGGAAATAAAAATCCCTACGAAAGAATCCCTACTCCAGACAAAAATTTTTACTCAGTGGAGTCGAAGGGACAACAGCATTGGTAGGGGACTTGTCAGCAACTGGAAACCAAACAAAGTGCTGGTACAATGTCCAGCACTATTCTCTGGGCATGTGTAGCTGGCACTTAAAAGTCCGTTGATTTGTTGAGGAGCAACCAAAGGATCAACTAGAACAAAAAAACACACTGGAAAATGAACTCAAGTGATGCGGCAAAATGCATGAAATCTTAGGGAATTGGAAGCAATACGATCTGCCTGTGGGCAGCAATTGGAAAAAAGATGGCACCTCTTTGGGCCTTCCATTAAAGTCACAGGAGAGGCTGAGCCTCAAATAGGGCAGAAACCGGGGAAGACAATGAAAAGGGCTGGGAAGGGAGGGATGAATAGGTGGAACACACAGGATTTTTAGGGCAGTGAAAATACTTTGCACAGTACTATAAAGGTGGATACATGACATTACACATTTGTCCAAAACTACTGAATGTCCAACACTAAAAGTGAATCCTAATGTAAATTGAACTCTGGGTGGTGATGACGATGTGTCAATGTAGATTCACCAATTTCAAGAAATAAACCACTACTACCAAGGGTATGCATGTGGGGGGGACAGGGGGCATACGGGAAATCTCTGAACCTTCCTCTCAATTTTTCCACGAACCTAAAACTGGCCTTAAAAAACAGTCTATAAAAAAACAAAACAGCAGCAGCGCCGGCTTTACCCGAAGGCCGCCCCAACTGTGGAACGTCAGTCCCGCGCTCTCTGCTGTACACATTAATTTGTAAACTCCAGAGAGCTGGAAGTTTGTTTTGTTCCACTGCTGTCTCCCAGTTCTTAGAAGCCTGGCACATATTAGGTGCTCAACAAACAGTTGATGCATGCACGCCTGCTTGCACACAATGATGTCAGGATGGATAAACTGCGGCTTTGGGAAAAGGAAGGAGTGCACTCTTCTCCTTCCCCGCATTCATTCCTCCTCTCAAGTTCTTTTCTAGCTGCAATACTTGAAAATATTTACTGAACATCTACCACGTGCCAAGAATACTGTAGGGATGCTGTAAATAATAATAATCACGGCAGGCAGTCCCGGCACACACCAGAAGAGCAAATTCTCACGTGTATATGACACCTGCCTCCCGCTCCGCACTAATCCTGACCTGACCCCCTCCAGGACTGGGAAGTGGTCTCTGAGGATCGGGGCGCCTGAAGCATGCCTAGGCTCCGGCCACCTGCGTCTCCTGAGACCGCCCAACTCAGGGACCCAGGGCAGGGTCAGAGCCTCAGTCCGAACTTCCACCCGGGGCCAGGATCCCTTCCCGAGACCCTCCCCAACAGCCGTTCAAACGCCTCCCCGCAGACGCGGGCCCGCCCCTCGCGGGCCTCCATCCCCCTCACTGCCTGCGCCTTCCCGCCGCGGCCTTTACCCATCTCGAGTGGCCGGGGATGGCTTGCGGTGCCATATCTTGCCACTCTCCTTGTTGCCTAGTTCTGTGCTCTGCATGTCGCAGTCCGCCGCGGCTGTCGCCCGCCAGGAGAACAACAATCCCAGCGGCTCCAGGCAGGCCCCGCGGCGCCGGCCCGGGAAATTTGGGCGCCGGCAGAGGCGGTAGGAACTCCCGCCAACAGTACCAACGCGCGCGCAGACTGTCTATTTGCAACCAATCGGAAGGCTGTTCCCCTCCCAAACACCGCCTAGGCGACCTCTCCGGCTCTGGACAATGGCATTGGCCAATGACCTTTCCTTAGACTCCGCCCCACTTCTAGGGCCGCCCCCGAGGCCCAAGGCCTTATGGGAATCGTAGTTTTCTGCAGGTAGCGCGCGAGGAATAGCTTGGTAACTCTGCACTTGAGGGTCCTCTGGGGTTTTAGGCTCCCACCCAGTGAAATTGACTTTCACCTGTCGTCCCTGCCTTCCGTTCTACATTGCTTTTAGGGATTAAGGAGTTGCAGAGGCAGGGTAGCAAGGATCCAACTGCATTGAAAATTGAAGGGTTCCTTTATAGATCACTGGGGCTCAAAAGAATCTTTATGGAGTCCACTCTTACTGATCTTTTCACCATCATCATGATTATTTTTTCAATTAGATTATCTAGCAAGAGGCTCCAGTATTACAGTGTTAAGTCTGCCAGTCGCAGGCCAGAAAAGCAATGTCATCAACAACCTGACATCAACAATACTGGCATAAGAATTTTTGTAAAAATTCACTTAGCACTTCTGTAGTGCTTACTAGGTATCACACCCTTTAAGTGCTTTATTAATATTAACTCATTTAATTCATTTAACCCTCATAGTAAACCTATAAAGTTGATAGTGCTATGATTCCCATTTTTAGTGCTCTGTGAGATAGTGTATTGGTTTCCTGACACTGCAGTAATAAATTACCACAGACTTGGTGGCTAAGACAACAGAAATTTATTCTCTCACAATTCTGGAGGCTAAAGTCTGAAATCGAAGTGTTGGCAGGACGGTCTCCAGAGGTTCTAGGGAAGATTCCATTTCTTGCCTCTTCCAGCTTAGCACAGTGACTGGCTTCCTTGGCTTGTGACTATGTCACTCCGTTCTCTGCCTGCATTTTCACACTGTCTTCTCTTTTCCTCTTCTGTCTGTCTCAAACCTCCCTTTGCTTTTCCCTAATAAGGACACTGGTCATGAGAACCTATCTGGATAATCCAGGATAACGTCATTTCAAAATCCATAATTACATCTGTAAAGATCCTTTTTCCAAAGAGGGTCGCATTCACAGGGGCTGGGGATTAGGACATGGATATATATTTTGGGGGCCCACTATTCAACCCACTTCAGGTTGGTACTTCTATTATCCTCATTTTGCAGATGAGGACACTGAATTAATAGGAGAGCTAGGAACAGATCTTTAGCCTTCTCATTCTTGTTCACCACGTTTTTTGACAACAGAAGAATGATTTTTTACAAAATTACATAGCTATGATATTTGAAAAGCTCAAACTCTATCAGAAAAGCAAAACTTTTATAAAAATTTACCACTGCAGATTTTAGAACTTTTTATATTGTTACCAAGGGGTAGCTCTAAGAGACCATATGAGTTTTAATAATCTATTGCAGAAGAGACAGCCACATTTCTCATTTTTTATGTATTGGATTTGAGATGGCAATAAACTGTGTGTATGAATGTTTGCATTATTATTCAGGAAACTTAGGGTATTAGGCTTATGATCACCTAATATGAAACACAGGTTATTTCCCACATTTCTATCCCACAGGTAACCAAACATTTTTATCAGTAACAGAGACAAATCTGCTGGTGATTTCCTTAACTACTCTGGTTTAACTTTCCTACAGTTCAGCTTGTCTGAGCTGTCACAGTCCATGTGGCCATCCTGTTCAGTTTGAGATATGTGAGATATGTGAGGTTTCTAAAGTACAGATCTTCTGGACCTCACTTTGTACATCTCTGAACTTAGGCCATATCTGAAGGTCAGGCTGGCCATCTGAAGAGATGTGCACCTGTGGCTGCCAACCTTTTACTCATTGTAATCTCCCAGTTTTTAAAATCCAAGTTTGCTAGTTCCTTCATTAGTCAGTCAATAACTGATGCATCCTATACATACGTTTTTCAGCTTTATTTATTGCAATCTAATTGACATTCAGTAAAACCGCATATTTAAAGTGTATAACTTTGTATGTTTTGACATATACTCTGTGAAACCATCACCGTAATCAAGATTATGAATATATCATCATCCCCAAAAGTTTCCTTCTGCCTCTTTGCTGTCTCTTTTTATCCCCACCCCACCTTATCTACAAGTAACCACTGATCACTCTGTCTCTTAGATTAGGTAATATTTTCTAGAAATTTATATAAATGGCTCCTAAACTATGTACTCTTCTCTCTCCCTCTCTTTCTCTCTCTCTTTCTTTTTTTTTTATCTGGCTTTTTTCAGAATAATTTTTTTGAGAGTCAACTCTGCTGTTTGGTGTATCAGTGGTTCATATGTTTTCATTGCTGAGTAGTATCCCATGGTATTGATATACCATAATTATCCATGGTTTATCCATTCACCTTTGATGAACATTTGGATTGTTTGCAGTTTTTGGCTATTACAAAGAAAGATATTATGAACATCCCTGAACAAGTCTTTGTATGAACATATGTTTTTATTTCTGTTAGGTAATTTCCTAGAAGTGGAGTGGCTGGGCCATATGGTAGGTGTAGCTTTAGCTTTTTAAGAAAATGTCAAATACTTTTAAAGTAGCTGTGCCATTTTTACATTGCCACCAACAGTGTAAGATAGTTCTAGGTGTTCCATGTCTCTAAGTCAGTAATTATAGCCATTCTAGGTGTGCTGTGGTACCTCTTGGTGATTTTACTTTCCATTTCTGGAATGACAGATGGTGTTCAGCATCTTTTCATGTGATTATTTACCTTTCCATATATATTTTTTTCAAATATTTTGTCCAATTTTTAATTAGATGATTTGTTTTCTTATTATTTAGTTTTGAGAATTCTTTATATTTTCTGGAGACAAGTCCTGTATCATATATATATGCTTTGCAAATATTCTCCAATCTGTGGCTTGTTTTTTCATTCTCTTAACAGTATGTTTCAAAGAGTAGAAGACAATAGTATCAATGAAGATCAACCTATTAATGTTTTCTTTTATGTATTGTGTTTTTATTGTCATATATAAGAAACCTCTACCTAATCCAAGACCACAAAGATTTCCTTCTTTATATGCATTTCAAGTACATTCTCAGGGGAATGGAAAGTTGTATGTCCACAGGATTTGGTGTTTTGCCTTGTGACATCCTTTCTCCTTTCCCTCTTACCTGTCCCACTTGGATATCCCAGAATGGCCATCAAAGGATGCCTTCCTTTTCACTCTGATAATAAATAATCTGGAGAGAGAAGGAGGATTTCCATTTTGTCTATTTTGCTAGAGGGAACTTAGTGGACACTTGGATTGCTCAACATCTGAATACACTTTCTGTTTGGGAAAAATCCCAAGATATTTGAAAGGTAAAGGGCAGCTAGTCTCTTTCCCAATTCTGTGGCAACCAGCTCTGTGATGCCCTCAAAACCTAGGCCAGTCAGGAGATGAGCTAGCAAGCTAAACTAGTGCGCTAATGAAAAATAAATGAAAATACAATTCAAATGTTTACTACAGTCTCTCAAAGAGCACCAAGTAAAAAGCAATTAATAAGCTTCAGCAAATTTCTTAACATACCCTTTTCCACCTCATTCAATCAGGTTAGATTAAATTATGCCACAGTAAGTAACACTCTAAAATCTCAGCCTCTTACAACAACTTCTCATGGCTGAGTGCTCATCTTAGTCTTTGGGGGACCCAGGGTGAGGAACTAGACATCATTTCAAAAGGTTCTGGTTGCTGTTCCAGGGAGAAGAGTTCTAGAAGGTTAACACCAGCAATTAAATGCTCCAGCCCATACGAAACAAACAAGAACAAACAAGCAAAAGAAATAAATGCTCCATTCCAGAAATGTCACTGTTAGTATCACTCTCAATTCACTCCCAGAACTATGGCCCCATCCAAACACAAAGGGCTGGGAAATGCAATACTACTCAATTAGTTTTCTATAGCTGCAATAATGCTGTGAAAGAGCAACCACCAAGCCTCTGCGGTATTCAACAGTAAGCATTTATTGCTCACACATCTGGGATCAGCCAGACTGTTACTGTAGCATAAAGTAGCCCATCTTGACTAATAGAGTAACTTGGTCCCCATTTTGCAACTGAGGAAACTAAGGCTTGGAGTGGTTATTGAACTTGTATAAGCTGGTACAAGGCTCAGATATAGACCTATCTGGCTCCTCTGTCTTTCATGCACCAGGTTGGTGTGGTTTTGAATTCTTCCGTAAGACTTATTGCCTAGACCAGAAAATAATTTATTGCTAGCCTGGGTTAAAAATCTTTGTGAACTTCTATGACAAGATTCTGTTTTTATCTCCTTGGAAAAAGGGTTTATTTGCATATTGAAAAGAGTGTTGGTAAACAAAGATGTTGGGGGCACTTAAAAAAAGTAAAGCACAGAGGAAGTGGGGTGGAGGAGGGTAGGCAAAAACTGTAGACACGGACAGTTTCACCTGCCCAGCACTCTGTCCACAACCCCCACCCCACGTCTGAGAAATGCTTCTAGCCCACCCCTCATTGGTCATATGATTGGCTCAGGGGTGGAGCCTGACTCAGCTGAGCCAATCAGAGCCGTTTCCTGGGATTTTTTTTTAAGTGAGAGACCAAGGCGCAGCCCCTCTCTGGTTAGTAAAGACTGGGAGCTGCCAGAAATAGTCGTTCCCACTTTGTGGTGACAGCCAGTCTGAGAGGGTAGCTGAAATGAAAAAGCGTGGGGGAAAAAATAGGCGGTAAAAAAAAAGCATTTTGGCAGCATTTACGTCCCTTGTTCTAATTGCTTTAGTTGCTCATGTGGCCTCCTGCTCCTCTTACTGGAGCTAAGATATGGCCTTTATTTCTAGAATATATGTAATTGGAAGAAAAAAAGAGTCATGGAAGGTTTCAGGAGGTGGTGATACATGAGCGGAGTATGGAAGGATGAAGAGGGGTCATAAGACAGAAGTTAGGAAGGAAACCGCATCTGAAGGAAGGTGAGGAGGCGGGTACTGTGAAACAATATGGAACCTGCTAGAAACCAAAGGCACTTTGTGCAGTTACAGTACAGTA